AAATTAAACATTTTAGCTCCCTTCATGTTATGAAGTATTTCATAAAATATCATTACTTAATACATAACAGTATTAAAAGATAATAAGTTACATAAAAAGTAAATTAAAATATTCAATAATTATTTTTTTGCGATAAATATTATTCGTCTATCATTCACGTCCGAAACGGTTTAAATATATTTCAATAATTTACGTAATAATGTGTTTATACACATTATTGTGTTTAAAAAGTACATAATACATTTCTTATTACGTATATTTTAAGTAAAACCGCGTGATGAACATTATGTTAGCTTTACTTCCTTCCTAGCGTATTACACAATACCTGCACGGCATTAATATAACTACTTTAAGGAGGTTTTACTTAATTTTAATAATGAAAGATGTCTATTAAGCGGTGTATAAAACGGTAGATATAAAGTTATTACACCTATGTCACATTTATATGTTAACATTCTTTCCTAGTCAATAAAAAATTGTATAATGTATAATAATTGTATATATAGAATGTTATTCGTTCTTATAGGATGTGATTTACCACACGTAATTGTCTAACTAATCAAGAGTATAATTTAGTAAGTTTATAAGTCTTTTAAACGCTTCATATACATTTTTAATGATAATTACTAATTTCCGTATAAAATTACAATATAAGACGCATTACAAGCAACTGTTAAGAAATCTCAGGCGACGAAGCTTAAAATTTTATATTAGGAAATAATTGTGTTTTGAGATAAACATTTAATATTATTGTTTTACAACTTATCTAAGAGGTCATGAGAAATGCTAGTTAGATTAAAATTATGCAGTTCCGTTTAGCTTAGTAGAATCATCTAGGGAACTAAAAATTTATATAAAATCTTTTTTATAATACAATTTTAAAGTAAATAAAAAAAACAAGCATATAATTTTTCTTAATCAAAATGCAGCTCAATTTACCATAGATTAATTTCAATTGTTCTGTCTAAATGGTTGCTGGCTTTCAATAGTACTTAAATATTAGAACATAATAGCATAGAAATTTTAAAACTAAATATTTTAAAGCTAGATGTTCTGTTATAAATATATACATAACTGTTTGTCGACGTGTATACTCACAATAAAAAAATGATTATATAATAATATTTATTAATGGTCTAAAAATAAACATATGGTATTTAACTTTAAAATTATCTTATATCACTATAGTTATAAATAAACTACATATTTTACTACGATTAAATAAATTTTAATACTAAATGATGAATTACTACAAAAACTTAATGGCTAATATAGTTCTTTAAAAGGTTTTTGGACAAAAAGAAGACAAGCTTGAAAACAAGGAAGTATGTGAACCTTTTAATGTACAATGCTACTATAGACCTGATGGCCGGTTGCACTATTGAATAAAGCAGAGTGTACACCGTACATTTATAAATAATTTACTTGACGCCTTCAATATCTCTATACAAATTTATCGTGATTTTTTTTTCATGATTATATTTTTATCAGAAAGTCAATCAGTTGACAGAGTCACAAAGAAATTTTGTTCTGTCACTCTGTTGTGCGATTCCAAAGTGCTGTTTTAAATTCCAATCTTTCATTGGAACTGTCAGAACCATTAGGGTTATTCATTTTATTCTCGATATAATTAAATGCTAAGATATTCTAGTGGTATATAAGGAGATACATATGTATAACGGCTGTTCTCTCGTATGATAGTGATGTGTATTAATACCTTCGGTATTTTACATCATATGACTATTACCGCATATCCTCGTCGTTTATTCCAAACAATTAATTCCATAATTTAATCAATATCACTGTTATGTCGTTATACATAATAATATATACTAAACGCGATTTAATTTATTTATTAAAAAAATTGTGAACTCCGCCTTACTTGATAAAAAACATATCAGTCAGTCGCTCACTAAAGGTCGTGAAATCTATATACATGTTAGGAAGTAATTAGAGGGCAATCAACTTATCCTCAGTATCGACACGATAATAGTAAGATCACGATAAAACTAAAAAAAAAAGAAACCTATAAAAGAGCGGAAATAACTCTATGTTTTCTGTATTAAAGACTTCATAACAGATCTTTGTGGTTAACACAGCCAATAGTTCATTATGAAATATAAAAATAAATACCTTCTAAATAAATCTAATATTCCGGCTCTTTGAAAGTCGACAACAATTGTGTTAGCTAACATTTTCCCAAGTAGATTTTCGCAAGACGAAGTTGCCTCACCTGGAGCCAATGTATTACCCTACCCGGACGAAAAACCATTACTGTGTGTGCACAAATCTGTTAAACATACAATTCAATTTGTCGAGGTTATAACAAGTGATGCTGTATAATGTTGAGTCAATAAAGCGTTGCGGATCTGTAATTATTTTAAGTTTCACGGAAATATTTTTTTTTACGTTTTCATTCGAATTTATTGTGTTTCATCTCCATATCGCACGAGCTTCATAAAGATAGAATCACGAAAAGCCATGAACTTCAATCGATTGATAATTGCTGCTATTAATTTCACAGAGCAATAACATATACAACCATCCTCCCGATTCATAAATTACGTATTAATTAAAACACTATTTCTGTAGTTATGTTCAAACAATAAGTCATTAATATCCCAAAAGGTATCACTCATGATGGGGTAACCAAGGGCCAACTAATTCCCACATATTTTATCATCACAGAAGATGAATTGACAAGATTGCGATAATGCTTATAAATGTGGGAAAATGCAATACCCTTTCATTATTATCATTTACTTGCTAATATTAATCACATACCTAAGTTGTAATAATTAAAAATTACGAGACACTTTTTGCCTTATTTAACAATACTAATATGTACTTATCTGTATAAACGTAGACGGTTCCGTCTCTCAGAGGTCGTCTTGTGTCCGGCGTGAGATCATCGCGAGACGCTGTTTTTTTACATTTTTTAATATTAAAACGATTTCCTTTAGTAACAAAACTAATTGGTATATTCCAAATTTAGATTTAACATGCAATAACGGGGAATGTCATAGGATTTAAATATCTGATACTCAGGTTTAGGAAACGATAAAAATATTCAGTTTTCATGGTTAAGTTTTAATATATTGTTTTTCATTTTCAATAATCATTAACAAAATATATATGCTATTTCATTGATGCCAATCACCAAATAAACAATTTATAACTCACAGTTTTAATATGAATGTTATAATCAATATTTAATATTAATATTTATATTTTAATTGAGACTTGTAGTTGCTGTAATAGAGTAATAGAATATTCTTAAACATTTAACTAAGTAGTAATAAGCATACAGGTTTATGTATTAATATCACTCTTAAACTTTGCCACCTTAAATCCAACTTAACCTAATAAAATTACTATAATTTTTGTTACGATTATATTACCGTCGTGGCAATTTTGCTATGATATATTACGGTGATATATTTGATCTCAAATTCTAATCGAATAAGTAGATTTATTAAATGACCAAATTAAATCGATTATTTTTTTGTATGTATTGTTTTACATGTGTTACATAAATCTATCTATATAAATGTTTTCGCTGAGTCAGTAACGATCTCTGAGTCAACTTCACCTGAATCTTAATTCAGTTATCCCCTGACACTTGAAACAATTTCGTTATCCAACCTTGTTCTACATTTTCATTATATTTACTTTATTCATGCTCACGTATACAAAACCCACTTTCGCTAACACAATGCTATGTATTTATAGATATTATACTATTATAGTTATAAAGTGGTTCGTTGAACTTCATGACTGACCATAAATTATAAATGAGCTGACGTTAATCTGTGACGCAAGAGTAAAGCTACCTATAACTTTTTCTTCCATTAAAGCTGCCATAGATAAACCACCGGATTGGTAAACATTCAAATCGTTACATCACTGAACATAATCGCATTATTTATGTCTGCTTGAACAATACTTAATGTCATTCGCTTTTATATTTATAAGTGATAATAATAATGAAAGTTATTTGGAAAGAATAAAAGAAGAGTATTTAAATTCATTTATTAGTCAGGTAGTCGTGATAAATTTAATATTAATTATTACTGTGATTCGTTACTTGGAATACCAATTTAAACAGAGCGCAAAATTTTTACTTTATGTTTCACTTCGTTTAACAAAGAGGTCATCCGAGAACAGCCAAAAAATCTATGAATCCTAATTATCCTCGGATAAATGTATTGTAAAAGTAAAGACATTAAATATGACCATAGAAAATGTTCGATTACGTTAATGTCCACTACATTCTGCCGACACTGAAAGTAATGAAGGTTACCATTCCGATCGCCAGACCTAACCGACAGTCAAGGGTACATAAAATGCCGCTACTGGTTCTTTTTTACGGCCGATACAAGAATGTATATACATTATTCTTTTACGTGTCCGGTATATGTTTGTTTACATTGAATTAAACAAATTTACATTTATACTTTTTTTGCATTTACTTATTCTTAAGAGATTGTATGCAACCGTAAGAATAATATCGTTTCTTTTTTGTACGGAAATAAAAAGATTTTGCGCTTAGCAACTTGCAAAGTAATATGTTTGATGATATCCTTACTAAGATTTTTATTTCTTTCTGACGAAGTTTTAATTTAGGGAAGAAAATAAATTTGAAAACTTGACGAGCAATGAAATTACAGCTAGACATGAATGTTCAAAACATGAACAGAGAAACTACAAAATAGTTTGTTGTTGGGAATTGTTGTGCAAATTAGATATTTTCTCATATCCAATTGTTTTTTACTTTCTTCGTCTCACAAGTGACACAGTGCCCTAGCTAGATGTAGTGACCAAGATAAGAAGCTCTATAAGTAAATATTTTTAAATTGATTCTTGCATACAGGAAAACTTGACTTTAGAGAAAATAAAATTGATTAGGTTAGTGTCTTCGTTTCATTAACTTATATTTAAAAAATTGCATTTGAAATTTTAACAGGGCCAATTCAATGTTAAACATAAAATAATATAAAATGCAAGATTTCAGACAAGTGCCGATATTTCTAACTATAAACAACACATTACATTACTTAGATAGGTACATACGGTATAAGTTATCATCAGAACATAGTATAAGTTTCAAACATTCGTAATACTAAAACACGATATAACCTTTAGAACAGAATGTAATTTGTATTAAAGAAGATAAGACACAAAACCATTTCTATAAATATAAATATAGTTCATAGCACCTCTTGTAAGTATTGTAATTGCACCAATTATCAAACGTGCTCTCGCCAGCCTGTAATTTTAGGCTTTCATTACGTAGGCGAGTGTGACCAGTATTTTGTCATTTCCTGATTTAAACCAGTCACGTGGTTTTCTTGTAAAGATAATTAATCATATAAAATGCCACTTCGCTTCGTTAACCTTAATCTACTCTAATAAATTTTATAACAAAGAAATTTTATTTCTTATAATATTCCGATCTTGAATATTGTTATGCAAATAAGAACAAAGTTTAAAAAAAATATGAGGAAATTATACCTTTGTAGTAATTACACCCGCACAATTTTATCTTTTGCAATGAATTAAAAGATTATTTATATTTGTTTCAGGTTAAAACGAAGTATATTGCTATACGCATTATTTTTAACTCAAATATTAGCACAGAAAACAAAAACAACAGATGACAATCTACAGACAGTACCAAGTGACCTCAGAAGAGCTGTTAGTGAAGCACTAGCTTTAGAGAGGAGGTTTTTATTAGGAAGTAACGACGCGTGAGTGACCTTTATACTGTATACATTTCTAAAACATAGAGATAGTTATCAAATTAATATTTGTTATATATTTTTTAACACTATAACTCAGTATAAATTAAGTTTTTTTATTTATTTATTTAAATAGGAAGAACTGTTCATACGACGAGATCAGCAATACACCATGTCCACCCAGCAAGTATCGTAGTGCGAGTGGCGAGTGCAACAACGTCCGTCACAGACCATGGGGAAGGCGAGGCGACGTGTTCCTTAGATTATTACAACCACACTACGCTGATGGTAAGACAACCATACCCACGTAATACAATTCAACCGAATACCAATCAAATTGAAAACCGGTTGTTAATATTATTTCACGCTACTAACTTCAGAAATCCTGTTAAAACCTCGTTCACACTGTCTTTGTTTTAAGAATAGATGACAGAATTAATGAATTACAAAATATTTAAAAAGTGAAAAAACGAAATTAAAATAATGAATTAAAAACAATAAATTATTTTGCAGAAAAGTGTTAGTTAAAGCTTAAAGTTACGCAATATATGTATAATAAGAATACGTGATATATAATACATAGTTATATTTTTGTTAAAAATATGTATATTTAAAAAGTGGTCCTTATTTATGTAAATGTGAATATCTAGTGTTTTATAAAGTAATACACTATACCGGTTATTTTATTTTTAAAATATATTTAGAAACACATATTTTCTATAACATCACATTTAAATATAAAGATTAAATAACATTTATTTAATATGTGCCATTTGTTTTACACCCGCATTGTATCAACATTGGAAACTACGGTTTACATCGTATTACGAAAACTGTTCATTTGTATAGCAAAACTAAGTCTCTCCCCGGATTTACGTGGATATTAAGTACAAATTTAACAGTATGAACAATCAAGCTCTTATTCTGAATCATTAAAAAACCTTTTTTTTATCATTAAAAAAACTAGATTAACTTTGATGTTATTAAAAAAATAATGCCAATATTAATTTATTATTTTTTTCGATTCAGATAACTTTATCAAAAATTATCATATAATTTGTCAAGTCCAATACAAAATCTCGTTTTTGATTAAAAAAATTAATATATTTACAATGACATTTGACCTCTCAAACCTTGGAAATATGTTAGTATACCAATTCATTGATCTTTTATAAAAACAATTAATGTAGAAATCATTAATAAATGAAAATAAATAGGGCTCGAATTACTATTTACGGAATGTTATATGTCAATATTCACCATTATTGTACTTAAAAAAACTTGTTAAAAATTTATATTATATAAAAAAAAAACATGATATATGACAAGTTATCTCTAAAACCATTTTAATAAAAAATGTACTAGAATAAATTATTTGTATAAAGTAATTTTGTACTTTACATGTTCGATGAAAAAAACTTATTATTTGTATAGTAACTAATGAAGATAGAGCAATAGTAATTTTTGTGTGGCAGTTAAAAAATGTATAATTTAATAAACTGTAAGAGTTAAGATCTAAAGAAAAAAACTCTATTAAATGAAAATTTAATTTTAAATTATAAAGTTTCCTTTCATCGTTCACGAACGAAGAAAATTTACGTGAAACTGAGAAAAACATACGTTGCTGAAAATAAATACAAATATTAATTAAGAACGTCATGTTGTTATGTGTGTTCCACTTTAATAAATAATTGAAATCATATATTATAATTAAGAATACACTCAAATTCTTTACGAATAGATTTCAAGAAGAAGCAATTTTTACAGGAGTATCACAACCATATGCCAGTCCGAAGCTGCCGGAGCCAAGGCTAGCTGTTCAAGCTGTATCGCAGTTGGCTGAATCAGCCGGTCACGATTACGTAACCAGCTTATTGGCTGCCTGGGGACAGTTCCTAATGGATGACCTGATTGCTACCTCTAATGAAAACCAAGTAAGCTTTATTCATATCCCAAACAAATGAAAGTAATATATATTTGTTTAGGTAATTGCAGAACCACAAATGTTAAATACGCATATACGTAACTGACGCAATCGTGCGGAACAATACCCCATTAAGTTAACGTACCCACAAATTACTAAAGATATCAGGTCATGAGATGTCAAGAACTTGAAAGATCAAACTCAGTTATCAATTTTGATTTCTGTTAAGCCGAAACATTCAATTAAGCGCGTTTCACACGTCGTGGGCAGCGATGCGAAGGCCAGCGGACGTAGTTTTTGTTAGGCTAGTGTCGTAAGTCTGTAATCTTCGGATTAATCATGCGTTTTTTGAACACTTTGTCTCATTACTCATATCTATTAACTTAAACGAGATTCTCTGAATCGTTACCTCCATTCTTCGAAAACATAATTTAAATACTAAATATCAAACATGAACGACTTCACTTGCTCTGTCAAGTAAGAAAAGTAAATACGAACAAAAGTATATTAGTTAATTAGCAACAAAAACTAACAATATGATTATTTTTATATATTATTAATGTTATAAACCGGTAATTGAGACGTTTCGTTACCTCATCAACACACAAATTTTTCGTGATAGTTCGCGGGTCACGTGTGCAAAGGTTACATGTTACTGGTGAAAGCTGTGACGCAATACATTTCCTTATCCGCCCCGTCAGCGTTGTAACTGACAGACATCTAATACTGATACACTAATACGGGAAATATAGATTTCACATATAAATGCTAGGAAGCGGGAAAAGATTAACAAACGTGGGATTAGTTTTTACAAACAACCTTTGAAATCTCCTTATATTATGATAACTAATTAAGTTATCACATTTATTTTGAATCTTATTTCGATTCATGAAATCTTAATCATTTGCTTTCTTGCTAGACAGTTAAATATATATTAGTTAAAAAATTACCGGTCCATCATAAATAAAATCATATTATTACATTACGAAAACCCACGTAATTTAAATATAATCTCACAAAAAATATTTGTCAAAGTCTCTTACACAATGTTTGACGATGATTACATCTGTATTCATCTGTCATGTGAAAGCTGCAACCTTAACTTGTTTAAGACAACATGATTGAATACGGTGTCATTTAAGAATTATAATAATTTCCTATGTCTCTTACGATTATACTTTTTACTTTACAAGTTTTTGAATATAAAAATTTATTTGAGAATAAATGTATAAGTATATTGAATTCTAAATACATACATACTTATGTATAATATAATTAAAAATATTTTAAGTACGAGTGTATATGATGCGAACGTTCCGTAAACAAACAAACATTATTTTATGAATGAATAAAAAAATAATTAATTATTAAGTACTAAGTACTTTCAATGGTTCTAAAACGAATAGAATACACTAAAAATGTCATTCATTATAACGTGTCGTTCATTATAATAAAAATTTATTCGAAAATGTGTTCTTACAAGAAGGACAATAAAGTCAATTGAAAACACATAAATAAAAAATACATGTTCTTGGTGAAAACAAAACTAATAAAATTCATATTAAATCTACTTACAATTTACATATATTCACGTAGTATCATATATGTATATTCAGAACAGTTCCTTTTATATTTGTCACGAGTACATATATGATTAAATTTCCTACACTATACATATGTTGCATTAAACTATAAACGTATGAATTATTTATGAAGGCTTGCGATTATAATATTCCAAGTATAAAATACTCCATTGACAAACATTATTTTTTAACGAATAGATTATGTTATGTAACCTTCTAGCTCTGTACATATGTACAGTACAAGTTGGCATCGTCACACTGCACACGATGCTTTATCGATTTCTCATACAATAACCAATAGTAATACATACTACGATATAATAAGATTTACCAATGAAATAATATTAATATTATGTCTATAAAACTGAGTAACGATGCCAACTTGGACTAAAGATAATAGTTTGGTTTATAAAATTTTCAATATCTTGATAAGTATATATAGTTAAGATTTAGGTTCACACTCTATTGTAGGATTGTTATTCATTATTGACAATTTATTTTACAGAAGTGTGAATCTGGTTGCGAATACGTTCGCTCGGCGCCTTCAAGAAATTACGATTCCTGTGGATTTGGTAAGTTTTAGCATAATTCACTTATTTCTTATTATTATTTTGACGTCTCTAAACTCAGTACTATCCCTTTTATATAATAATAATTTATATATTAAAAATTACTACGTAATAAATTAAATATTAAATTTTATTGTATATTACAGAATACCGTGATCAGATGAATCTAGCGACATCGGTACTAGATGGCTCTGCCTTCTATGGAAATTCTGAAAAAGAGCTGTTGTCTCTCAGACTATACGATGCTGGCAAAATGGATATATCCTCGTGCCGAAAGTAAGATCGATTTCCAATATTATAATTCCAAAAAAATAACACTATAATAAAAATGGGTAGGTACTAAACACAAGCCAAATCAAATCTTAGTAAAAATAAATTTACTTGTAATCAAAACACAAGGGCGAAATATAAAAAAAAGGAATACAAAAAATATTTCGCGTAATTTTGAACTCAAATGTCCGATGCCAATTAAAAGATGATTCAACACAGCAGCCTTGTTCGTCTCCGCCTCCTTGAACTAAGAATAAGTACACTGAAATGTTAGTAAAACCTTCAATTGCATCAATAAAATATTTGAAATGTCAGACTATAACTATTATTAACTTACGAGGGTACAAAATACAAAGGTGTTTTAAAATATAAACTTATACGTGACTTTGAAATGTTGTACCATAGTAAATCCAAGCTTATTATGATATTATGATTACTGAAAATATCATAGTCTACCTTTACGTATTCAACATATGGGTTTTCCACATTAATTACAATGTAGATCTTGTAATAAAATTCCAATGTGTCGTCATAAATAATTGCATTCAAACAAAGACAATGCAAACTTCGCATGATTTGCATTCCGAACAGTTTGTTCCTAACGATACATCTGATATAGAGCTTGAACTCATTTTAGTCTATTTTTATTCATCCAAAAGCAATTTTTGAAATAATCAATACTCTAGTCTCTACTGGTTATATTATTATTATCAGTCAGACTCATAGGAAATTTAATTCATTGCTATGCAAGACTTTCACTAGAATTCCTCTAAATAAAACATATCTTTTGGATTTACTACGCGTTTTTTATTATTTTAAACTTCACACTCCACACGCTTCAGTTACTTTACAGTAACCATGGTCACAAGTAGACGAGATGAAAATTTTCAACAATAATAGCTAGTTAATAGTAGTAAATCCGAAAAAATATGAGTTTTACATAAATTTAATTTAATTGAAATTAATATACTCCATAGATGCAACGAGAATTCACCAACCGCACCACTTTATAAGGCTCTCTTAACTGAACACAATCGTATTGCTGGCGAACTATTTGCGATGAATCCCTTCTGGGAAGATAATGCACTATTCTTAGAAGCGAGACGAACAATAGCAGCAGTTATTCAACATATAACCTACAATGAGTTTTTGCCTGTTCTTTTGGGTGAAGTAAGTAAAGTAATATGTATCTATTATTTCTTTTTATATCAAATAACTTAATTACAATTTTTTTAATTCTTTTTATTCTGTAGGTTGGAATGGCAAAAGCAGATTTAAAACTAACCACCCACGGTTTCTGGCGTGGATATTCAAGTGCAAATCGTGTCGGTGCTTATGCGGAGCTTGTGGCGGTCGCACCAATTTTTAACGCCATGATGAATGAGAAACTTGTAAAACTATCTTTTTACCTACTTAATTTATCGTTATATTTCTTTAACATTAATAAATTATTTAAAATTGCTATAGATTAACACAACAGTGCGTCTAAAAGACTTGGTCAAGACTAGTGCTCATCAAATCTCAAGATTCTCCTTATCAGCTCAATGGGATCTTAATAGAGCTCGTGATCATGGTGTTCCTTCGTATCTAAAAGTCTTGCAGCTCTGTGATCCCATGGCGAATGTTAAATCATACGCTGACTTTGAAAAATTAGGATTTGACAGAAGACATCAAGAAATATTCGCTGATATGTATAGGTAAATTTAATTTTGTAGTAATTGTTTTATTGCGATAAACCAAAAATATTATTTTAAAACCGCAAATTTGTAGTTTTTACAAAAAATTGATGAACTAAAAAAATAATGTACTATAGAAACGCTGAAGATATTGAACTGATGGTAGCTGGAGCCATGGAGAAACCAGCCACTGGAGCAGTTATTGGATCAACTTTAGCATGTGTGTTAGCACTTCAATTTGGAAACCTTAAGAAAAGTGATAGGTACGTAAATAAATAAAATTTATAAATCGTGAATTCACATTATTAACAATAACCTGTAAAATTATATTTCTTAAATATTTCAGGTTTTGGTATGAAAATGACATTCCTCCATCATCATTTTCAACCGAGCAGTTAGCAGCAATCAGAAAAGTGTCTATTGCTGGACTTTTATGTTCTGCCGATGAAGGACTGGATAATGTGCAACCTAGAGCTTTCGTAAAGGAAGATACATTTTTGTAAGCAATTAAATCATCTTATAAATTGTAAATCACTTGAACCAGTACATAGTTTATAAACAGTTTTAATCAAATATCTATACGATGCTTTTAGAAATGCAGTCCAACAATGCTCTCAACACCCTCGGCTGGAGCTTTCTTCGTGGCGCGATGAAAGTGGTGCCCGGGCTGCAGAGCGCCTCTCACAAGACATGCTGGCAGCTGCCCTTCAGAAGGCGAAGCAAGAGATGGCTGACCGCAAGAAACTTGAGTACATGTTATGGGAAGCACGTAAGTAGCTACAAAATAAATTATTGAAACGGATCTTTGAACTCAATCACGTATTTCATATCAAAAATTAGTCTGTAATAACAGCATTTAAAAAACATATTTTCAGGTGGAGGAGCTGACCCAAAGTCTCCTGTCGGCACAGCTGCATCTTTCTCAAAAGCAAATAAATATGCCCTTAAGTTGGCAAACACCTCCTTATTCTTCGAATTCGCTACTAACGAACTCGTTAACTCTCTTAATGGGTACGATATAAATGATTTTCTAGACATTAGGTTCTGCAATAATTTTTCATATTCCATAATTAATTAAAAAACAAATTTTTTTTAGACGAAGACGCAAACGTCAGATTTTCGATGACTCCCTGGGCTTTGGTTCAACTGATTTTGTGGAATCTCTTCAATCAGTAGACGTTAGTGGTTTTCTAGGACAGGACCAACTTGGGCCGGTTATTGAACCACAGTGCGATGACAATGGAAACTGCGATCCTGATAGTCCTTTCAGAAGCTACACTGGCCACTGTAATAATTTGAGAAATCCTAATTTGGGAAAAAGTTTGACAACCTTTGCGAGACTGTTACCTCCTGTTTATGAAGACGGTAAGAACACATGTCAATACTTTTACATTTTATTCATTTATTGTTCCAATATTACTACTAAACTAATGTAATTACAATTTTTTTCTATATGGAAATAAGATTATGTATATTTTATAAATTGTAATACACTTTCCATCCAGGTGTAAGCCGGCCCCGCATCAACTCAGTAACAGGCACCCCGCTACCTTCCCCCCGCATAGTTTCTACGGTCATACATCCCGATATATCAAATCTTCACACGCGTTATACTCTCATGGTGATGCAGTTCGCCCAATTCCTGGACCATGAACTGACAATGACTCCCATTCACAAAGGTAAACGTCAAAATCAGTATGTAGTATGTACCTACCTTATTTTGGAAAGTAACACGCATTCTAATCTATTGTTATTAAAGTTGTAACACCTTTTTCGGACCGATACTTTGAAATGACTGCAGATAACTGAATAGGTATACGTTTTTACCCTAGGCTTCCACGAATCCATCCCGGACTGCAGATCTTGCGACTCTCCCCGTACAGTGCATCCAGAGTGCAACCCGTTCCCAGTACCCCGCGGTGACCATTACTATCCTGAAGTTAACATTACTTCAGGAGAACGCTTATGTTTCCCATTCATGAGGAGTTTACCTGGACAGCAGCAATTAGGTGAGAACAATAAAAATTTGGGTTTACTAAAACTACATTTTGCTAGAAATTCGTTAAATTTAAATGTTATAAATTACTTTTTTAATTTTCTTTTTAGGACCACGTGAACAAGTGAATCAAAATACAGCTTTCATTGATGGATCGGCAATTTATGGAGAAAACCCCTGCATTGTTCGTAAACTTCGAGGTTTCAATGGCAGGCTTAACGCTACTGCGAACCCGATTAATGGAAGAGATTTGTTGCCTAGAACAGATAACCATCCTGAATGCAAGGCAGCCAGCGGTTTTTGTTTTATTGCCGGTAAGTAATAGGGAATAGATCGATTGTAATTTTCCTACAAATAAAACTACTATTTCACAAAGATCTACTGATATACCGAAATTTCTTCGAATTAAGAATAATCTATATGTTATAATTTTTAGGTGACGGTCGAGCTTCAGAACAGCCTGGACTCACTGCTTTACATACAATCTTCATGCGCGAACACAACCGCATAGTAGAAGGACTTCGTGGTGTCAACCCGCATTGGGACGCCGAATTATTATTCGAACATACTAGGCGTATAGTTGCTGCCTCTTTCACACATATCATTTATAATGAATTTTTGCCTAGACTTCTGTCGTGGAACGCTGTTAACTTGTATGGACTCAAATTATTACCTTCAGGTAATTTTATGTCCTTTAAATGTAGCCGTTTATTTATTGTTTTCCACTTTATATACATTTTGCTTATCTAACTTGTCCAGGTTACTATAAGGAATACTCACCAACCTGCAACCCGTCTATTGTAACGGAATTCGCAGCAGCAGCCTTCAGATTTGGTCACTCCTTGTTGAGACCTCACTTGCCGAGACTCTCACCTTCCTATCAACCAGTTGATCCACCAATATTGTTGAGAGATGGATTTTTCAGGCCTGACATGTTCATGAATGTAGGTCTACTTTAAAATATAAGTATGATTTGAAAAACTAAAAGAATTAAATAATTAACTGTAACTTTCTGTTATATATTAGCATCCACCAATGGTTGACGAACTTATTCGTGGTTTATCTTCCACACCGATGGAGACCCTTGACCAATTCATAACAGGAGAAGTTACCAACCATCTATTCGAAGACCGTAGAATTCCGTTTTCGGGTATAGACTTAGTAGCTCTTAATATCCAAAGAGGTAGAGATCACGGTATACCAAGCTACAACAACTATAGAGCTTTGTGTAACTTAAAAAGGGCTGCGACTTTCGAAGATTTGGCCAGAGAAATTCCCGATGAAGTAATTGCAAGGTAACAAATTACCCTTTTTATGATGTAAGTTAGGTTAACAATAGCTAAAAAAATTCGATAAATTTCTTCAGATTTAAGCGTATATACGCTACAGTAGACGACATCGATCTATTCCCTGGTGGTATGAGCGAACGACCACTACAAGGCGGTCTAGTTGGACCCACCTTCGCCTGCATCATCGCTATACAGTTCAGGCAGTTAAGAAAATGCGATCGATTCTGGTAAGATTAACTTGAGGTTACATACAATACTCACAATGATTACCATAAACTTTAATAAGAACATACAAATTGCTGAATATTTTACTATTATTCCAGAACTCTGTAAGGTATTAAAAATTAATCATAATTTTTATATTTCTTAGGTATGAGAACGACAACAGAGCGGCACGCTTTACCGAACAACAATTATCGGAAATTCGCAAAGTAACATTGTCCAAGGTGCTATGTGACAACTTCGATTTGCCAAGCGACATTCAACGCGCCTCTTTCGATCTACCTAGCAACTTTTTGTAAGTTTCTAATTACTATTTATTATTTACTGTAAAGGTAACAGTGCATATAAGAAGCAAGCTGCAAGAAATATGTAATAATAATAGATGTGTATATTTTTTAATATTTATAAACTCAAAAACTATATCTAAAATAATGCAAATGGCCAGCAAAACCACTAATAATGAACTCCGTGTAGGAATCCTCGCGTGCCATGCGCGTCTCTTCCAAAACTGGATCTTTCTGCATGGCGTGAGAGTTCAGCGCAGGGCTGTCTCATCGCGGGTCGCTCGGTGCGACTTGGTGACTCCGCCTTCCCTTCGCCCTGTACATCATGTATATGCACCGTTGACGGGGTAAGTTTATATGATCGGCATCAAAATATTACATGTTAGAAGCGTCCAATAGAGCTTCTATTTTTACCTTCAAAACCTTAATTATAAAATAAACAGACGTCTTTCAATTTACGTATATTATGAATTTAATCAAAAATTTTATACATAAGTATTTATTATATTTATTTTTTATAGAACTATTTAGGAAAAAATAACTGTCACGCATTTTTAAAATAAAAACTAGTGAATTATATCACAAGATAATTTTAAAGGCAACTAAAATTTATAATAAATATATAATCTTCGGTGAATCCGTAATTTTAATGACACTGTAAGTAATTTAGGAATGTAATTAATACCGATTTTTATAATATCACAGGCGCAATGCGCATCCCTACGGATCACGGACTGTGCACAGCTATGGCGTGAATGGCCACGAGAAGCTGTGCTAAGGGATGATGTGTGCACAGCACAGTGTGGCGCCGCCCCCGCTGCCCAGAGAGCGCCGAGGAGACCACACGCTCACTTCAAGTTCCCCGATCTTACACCGTTCATCGCTAAATAGATATTACATGCAACACCGACTTTTAACATTCATGCTTTCAAATCCAAAGGACTCATATGGTATAAAAAAAATATGAATGTTCGAAATATATTTACATTAAAAAAATATATAGCCATAACTTTTATGTTATGGGACAGTTATTTCATAGATCGTCACTATATTACACTCAATAAATCAAGTGACCCACGGACATTCATAACAAAATATACACCAGCGGATAGAGCGTCCTTCTTTTTCAAGTCGGTTAAAATAATTTAAAGCCCCTCCCACCCTTTTTAGTTAAAAATCTGCCAAGTGCGAACCTTAAGCGAAACAGAAGACAATTCACTGCCTTTTCGAACATATTTAATTTGAAATTAAACAGCTTAGCTTAAAAAATAACGGAAATCATTCCGTAGTTTTCAAATGCTTATAATCAAAGAGAATTCTTCAATGTGAAGTATTAATTAAATCTTTATTAGTTTTTATAGTACAGTAAGTGACATAATATGTGACAAAATAATTCTGACGTTTACGTGAATGCAAGCAAAAGTTACGATGCTATTTATAATAATTTAATTTTTTGCAATATTTACTATTTAAAGCAAGTCCTAGATGTTAACATTTCTTGTCATATAATGGAAGTATTGCATTTTCGTTCCTGAGAATAGCTTGTTACGTAAAAACTAAGTATGAGATTGAAATGATTCGAAGTAAAACCGGTGCTATTATAATAATAAAAAATATACATACTGGTTTTTATAAAAAGCTTTTATTAGGATTTTGGTGTAATCTTAAAATATCTTACAGCTAAAAAAATGGTCATTATGTAAATTGTTTTTATATAACATTCAGACAAAAAAATATATATTTCGTATATATTAATATGTATACATAGTACGGTTTAAAATTATTTTTTTATTAAAATCACGTGTTTCATGTCTGACTTAGAATATTAACGGCCATCAAAAGCTTTAAATGAAAAAAAAAATACAAATTAATTTAAGATAATGTAAGCCAGAATCATACCAGACAACTCATTTTACCAACAGATGTTACCATTATACCACATAGATTTAATAAGTACTCTGTATAAGTAATTGTCACTGCCTAGTTTTATATAGATGTAAGTTTGTATAAATTATTTTTGTAAAATATTGGCGTAATTATTTTTAAATAGTTTTTTTACAAACCAATTATAATAAATATCTAGACTATACACGAATTTTATTTACTTTAATAATAAATTTAAAAAAAAACAACAAGCATATTTACAAATCGCTTTTATTTCGTTTTATAATATTATCAAGTCTATTTAGTTTCCTTTTTACAATAAATACATTGCATTTGAGTATAAAAAATGTTGTGTTGCGTTAAAAATAAACATCACAAAACACTGAACAGTTGTTCTCGTTTATAGTTCATGCATCACTGTGCCCTGGTGATGTCGTCAATTTCTCAAATTCACCAAGCGCCTTGTTGCACATTACTCGTCCTCACTCTGAAAAAATTAATTACATAACATTTTTATAACCGTTTTACTAATATACTGTACATATATTCAAAATATTTAAGTAGATTTGGCATTTTTTGAATAAATTCGTATATTAAACGAGATTGCCTTTGGAAAGTTTGTTTTGATGATTATGTGTAGTAGATTTTTAAACTTACATTTACATATCTAAAAATAAACAAAGAATTTCGTAAAACTAAAATACGCTACAATATGATATGACGTTACGTACATTGAATTTTATATAAAGACTTAAAACATATCTTCATACTTACTGAAAATAACCATTCTTGGCAAGAATTTTAATGACATACCTACTTCTCAAATATCTTGTATAGAAGGTTCCATTAAAAACAAAATATATAGCTAAAAACCTTTTAACTTTCGTTAAACTATTTTTGTTTATAATTAAAATTCTTAAATCATAACATTTAATAAAAAAAAATATCAAACTAATTCTTCATTTGTTTTTCGTATTTAACTTTTGATAGTCCTCACAGAATATTTGGTGTATCAAAGATAAGCAAAAGTTTTCTATTTTAAAACTATACACTAGTTCCTATTTAATCCTCTTTAGAAATAATGTGAATGTGCCTTAAAGTGAGTGTCCCTAATCATTGTTTATTTTTCTGTATACAAGACATTTCCTAGGTGTTATGGTATGGTAACTAAATTAATTAGTGCTACTTCCTTATATATAATATTTTTCCTTTCGCATTGGTCAACCTACCAAATACTATGTACTTACTAATAAACTCTACATATAAATTAAAGTATACAAATCACTATTATACTTGTAGTCTATCAGATGGCTGCTACTTCCTTATATACAGGGTGACTGGTGAATTACTATCAATATTTAAGGAGAATACTCTGTACATGATTCTCATTCGAATTATGTAAAAAAAATAGGTACTTAATTTTTGACCAAATTTCCGTATAAATAGATAAAGTGTGGACACGTTCCAAGTGTTCCAAGTGTGGACGCGAGCGGCCTCGTGCTGATACAACACCACGCCACCGCACGCGTGTGTGTGTGTGTGTGTATACCTAATCTGTAGGGTGCTCACACGATGCGTAATTAATTACATAACTTTTGGTTAACTTTACTTAGAAGTTTATTAATATTTATGTTATTTTAATTTTTGTTTTGTCATATATGATCGTCAAATATCACGTCCTCAAGTATCGATAGTAATTCACCAGTCACCCTGTATAATATTAATACTTTCGTATTGATCGAACTACCTAAGACTGTACTTATTTATAAATTGTATATACATATAAATATTCTTATTCTTCTACCTGGCTATTTCCCAGCTATAGCCAGGGTCTGCCTTGTATGTTTGTGAATAGTTTTGACTATTTGTTTTTACGACCGGCCGCCTGCCTGACATCAACCCTCTTTGGGAATCAACATTAATCAGTGAAGTCTAAATACTCTTAGAAAGTAAATATGACTCAGAAATATCACATTGGTACTTTTGCCCAGGATCGAACCCGCGCCCTCGAGCTTGAGAGGCAGGCCTCTTAACCACTAGGCCACCACTGACTGTATAAATATATATAAATATTATATATATATAACTCACGGACATATTCCCAGTGTGTCAGTTGGCCGCTACCTCCTTATAACCGTTAGTGACCGGCAAGTTCTCACTGCGGCGCCACAGACCGTACACTCGCCCCGGCACCGCCTGCCACAGACGCACCGTGCCGTCCTCTGAACCGGTTGCGTACAGCTCACCGTCGGGAGACCATCTCACACAGTGAACTGGCCCGAAGTGACCCTTGTTTGATTCTGGAATTGTATTTAAAGTGTGAGAGATATATTAAATCATCCATCTGACGCATGTTGCATTACATTGGGACGCGGAGTGGGGGTAGAGGTCAATCAATCGAAAAAAAATGTATTCATGATGTTGCATTACGTTGGGACGCGTAGTGGGAGTATATATCAATCAATAGAAGAAAAATTAAATTCATAATGCTCATTTATTCCGTGAAAGTGTATTCAATTACATATCTAACGCATGTTGCATGCAGTTTGCAATTTACACGATACAGTTTGCCGTTTACACGATACACGATACAGTTTTCAGTTTACACGATACACGATACAGTTTGCAGTTTACACGATACAGTTTGCAGTTCACACGATACAGTTTGCAGGTTACACGATACACGATACAGTTTGCAGTTCACACGATACAGTTTGCCGTTTACACGATACACGATACAGTTTGCAGTTTACAGACCAGACAATATAAGGAGTATGTTCACTATAAACATGTACAGTACGTGTTTGATGTGTCTATTGATATCAAAGAACCTCCTGGAATGTACGTATACATAGAAAGATAATTAATTTTAATTTCTTTAAAACAATTTAGAGCTCTCCTACAGAAACATCTTCCTCAATCAAAGTACTCATAGTTTCACTACCGTCGTATGTTTTCACTACATGGTCTGTCCATCGATCATGAAATATATGTTTGTTTCAAAATATAAAGATAAGTAAAGTTAATGATATCCAAACAAATCTTTGTAGAGAACCGCAGTCTTTCTAAACGCTATATGTGCCGAAGGCTTATTAATTTGATAGTTTGGTTTAATTCATTACTATTTTTATTTTAACTTTTTTGTTGTTAATCTTTGACCACATCCTAAAATATGTGCTATCTTTAATATGAACAATAATAATTTATTATGAAGTGGATAGTCTTTATATGAAATAGTATTATTTGTAACGTTCCAGGACTCGTGAGAATATATAATCAAGATGAGGGTCGAAGCTGTTGGTGGAGCGTCTGTTAGGACGTGATCTGCGGACGAGAGGAAACCTTCTATGAAGAGATGTGTATGTAGCTGATGTACGATAGTAGTTTTACGGTATGTACTGTTGAATTTTTAATATTATTCTGTTGTTATTTATAGTAAGGGTGAATATTTTTTGAGTTTATTTATTCAATACTTTTATTTTTATTACTTTGTCTTGAAATATTCGTGGAGGTTCAGGGAAGTTCTAAAAGCTGAAAAAAAATGATTCCTTTCCGGGAAAACTCTAAAATCAGCCCTTTTCTATTTCCCATACGTTTTTTTGACATTAGATTTGACAACTTACTAATATGTCAATCATTCTGTTCGATTGAAACAGGAAAAATTTAATAAAAACCAATACCTGGTTATTTATGACGGGATAGAGTTCTCCCGGTCAGCTATACATATATTACTAATGACGAAATTAACGCGGACGAAGTCGCGGGCAAAAACTATATTATACAAATTGATGGACTATTTTTTTAATCTGGCGAATAGAATTATAATATTTTTAATAACAGTCTGTGTAATTTTCCAATAAAAAATAGACATGAATAATACATGTCTATGCTGCCTACTATTAAATTTATTAAAGAATGAATATTAAATATCTCATAAAATTGTATCAAGGATAATACAACAACACTAAGTCATTTAGTTCTCTATCATTTTCAATGGTAGAAAGTAAATCATATTTTCTATATCACGAATTTACTTATAATCCCTACTAATATTATAAATGCGAAAGTAACTCTGTCTGTCTGTCTATCTGTTACGCTTTCACGCCTAAACCACTAAACGGATTTGAATGAAATTTGGTACAGAGATAGAGTTGACCTTGAGAAAGAACAGGATAGTTTTTATCCCAGACTTTTGAGAGGTTCTCGTTGAAACGCGATATAACCGAATTCACGCGGGCGAAGATGCGGGCGGAAAGCTAGTAATAATATATAATAAGAATGATTTAGTACAAACCCAATTCGGTTCCAGTATTATAATCGAACTTGTACACCTTGAGATCCTCCCCGCCGCAGACAAAGGTCGCCCTACTAGGAGCTAGAGAGGCGGAATAACATTTTGTAGGTACAGGGAACTCACGCATCTTACGCATAGTGTCAGACGAATAGAACGACACGTTGGTTCCTGAAATATGACAAATTATTATTATTATTTTGTATGTTAAACTATCGTTATTTATAATAAAGATTTAAATTTTATGGAATATGGATTTTGTCATTAGAATAGGCATAGTAAATTTTATTTATGTAATGTAGGAATTAATAAGTAACTGGCATTTTATTACTATTTTCCAAGTATTCGAACCTTTTTCTCTAAGTATTGTATTTTGATTGCATTTAACATCTTACCATGCGCCACCGTCAATACTGCTCCGTCTCTGGACAGTTCTAAGCTATTGGGAATCGTAGGGAATTCAATCTTATGGACTTCCTGCAACAAATTTAATCACTTTAAACGACAAATTCTTGCATACTAAATATATGTAGAAAATATGCGACGAACGATAAAAGGCCTTATCGTTATAAATTAAAATTGTATACTTAATTTTAGTCATATATTTTTAGCGCCATCTTGTATAATTCTCGGGAAAAAATTGTATTCCAAGAGTTTAGTCATTTAATGTAAGTGTTTCAGTAATAAACATATACAAGTGTAAATTAAATAGTACTTTTTACCTGTCCACTCGTCCGGTCCCAAACACGCATAGTAAGGTCATCGCTCACGCTGACAATACGAGAATTATGCAGAAACACAGCATGCCTTATACTGCTGGTATGAGCACTTATCTTCTCCACAGCTGTAATTATATTGTAAGAATTTCATTAAAATTATTCAATACTAATTACACTTTTTACTCAATATTTATATTATAAGTAAGAAAACGATTGTCAAAAATATAAATAATCATTGTAATGTAATGAAGTAACTTGTTTCCGAATCATGTCCAAGCCATATATGGTATTGTTTACAACCTTGAATGTTGAGATTTGGTTTATGAAGGTTACAGTATAAATACAGTTGTGATAAGCCAACACGATTTTTGTATTCTTAATCTCATTAAAGAATTTTTTTTAATATGTATAAACATAGTAGAAAGTCATTGTTAACTTACGGCCAGCATCAGTCTTGTTTAGATCATAAACTCTTATAAGTTTCTCGTTGCTAGCAGTAAGAAGGAGGGTATCATCACAGTTAAAATTAACACTTTTCACAATATGCTCATGATCAAATGTATGGACCACTTCACCATATCGGGCATCCCAAAGTTTAGCTGTAATAGAAATTGAGGTTAATGATATGACACAATATAAATCACTCTCAACTTTGATTATTTCTTTTACTAGAAAAAGCCAAAATGAATAATATTTATTAAAATATAAACAATAAATTAAGACAGCATTTTTATTCCTATAAATTTTAGAAAAAATTAATAGAGCATTAATAATGTTTTTTGACACAAAGTAGCTAGTGACAGACATTTAGTTAAACTTTTAATGTTTTCTTACATAGCAACCACATTTTTTTTTTTTTGAAAAATATACATTTTTTTGTAAGCTATATGTTATAAATTTGTTATAAATTGTTATAAAGATCACACAAAACATGTTTTTTTTAAGTAATGATAAGTTCCTTTGTAGGTGAGAAAGAAGTTTAGTACAGTTCAAGTAACAGAATATTTACAATTAACATAACTGAATTTGTTTTACCTTGTCCCAGATTGAGAAGTCAAGAATAACATTAAGGCAAGAGAATAAATAATTATTGTAAATACTTTGTATTATTACAATACCTTGACCACTCCCATGATACAATCTAAAATAAATTTAAATTCATAATCTAGTTCCAATGTTTTAATATTAAATATTATTTATTAAGAATTTTCGCAAGAACTGAGTGATACAATTGCAAAATAAAACAATCATCTTATGTAAAATGAACTATTATATGCAATATTAGCAATTTTTTAAAAATATATATTGTGTACATAAAAAAATCTCTTGGCAGTTTAAAACTTTTACTTTTAAAAATAAGACTATTTATTACCTACTTTAATAGTTATAGGGTGGTTTTAGTCAATCTTCTTTACATTGTGGGAGGAGTCCAAGTTGTATGAAAACCAGCTCATATTATTAATAAATACCCTACAAAACTGCATTATTTTTATGATGAGATCTAAGATTTTCGCGAGTACTCATTTAAATGAAACTCGGATTGTACTTCGCGTTTTAAGTTTTGATTATAAACTACATACTCCCGACGTTTCGGCTACTTTTTAGCAACCGTGATCACGGGCAGACAAGATGTGAGTGTCTGTCAGTAGGTCTTGTTATTTTTATCCTACCACCATTGATTTCTTAATCTTCTGGCATACCGCTCTGGATGCCTAAAGTATTATTTTTACCTGTAAAGTCAGCTGCTCCGCTAGCCGCTAAGTTTGCATTCTGTGTTAGAGCAACTCCCCATACAGCTCCTTTGTGTCCCTCAAAAGTTCCTATCCAGTCGCCGGTCTCACCTTGACGTAACATGGGTTTGCCATCTGAGAAAAATGTAATATTTGATAAGTATAAGGAAGGAAAAAAACACCATATTATAATAACCCGCACAAAATACAAAATAGCTTGAGATTTATAACACCATTCTTTTATTTCTATTGCACTATAAAAAAGTTATTTACTGTGAAGTGAATACTGCTTGTTATTAAATATTTTTCAAGTTTTCTTTCATTGTAATAAAAAATAAATACAAAACTTAATAAAAATATATACACCTTGCATTGTTAGAAGTAAAACAATAACATTTAATACTTGACTTTTATTTATCAGGTAAATAAGAATATTACTGGAATCTTAAAAGAAAATCATTAGTTTCCTTATAAGAAACAATGAGAGTTGATAAACTTTGCTCAGTATTTTATAAAATATATATTAATGTCAAGTACTTTAGTACCTTGATTGAACACAAGGTGACCTAGACCATGTCAGTGAAATGTCAACAAGTTGCACCAGAAAGTGTTATTAACCATAGAACAATTATATACGTCCTATAACTGGATCGGTAATAACAAGTTACAGGTACAAAAAGCACGACTTATTACCAAGGCAAGCTAGCGCCGCGAGGAAACATACGACAACCTCAAGGTACTTCCTGCAAGTCCGGAAAGAGAAGGTCGTCAATGATTGTATACATAATTGCACGTATACAATACATAGGAAAGAAATGATACACAAAGCGAGAAAAGTGAAGGCCTTTCAAATACTTAAACATCTGTCACGAAAAACCAAAACATTCTCCTTCATATTCACTTACATGACTTCCACAAGTATGTAGGCCAAGGCGAAAGGGCACCCTTAATAAGAAACAATTGTTTAACTTACCTTTGCAGGCCGAAATTAAAAAATATCCATCTTTAGTAACGTCACTAAAATCCAAGTGTACAACGGGTCTAGTATGACCGCCACATGTGAGAGGAACTTGTTTGAAAGTTGACATGATATAATAAAATTTCTAATGTTTTGTACTTTTTGGAAAATAAAACTATTTCTTTAAAAAATTAACCTAATGAGTCCGATCGTTCTGAATGTTGACAATCGACTGACGGAAAGTGTATTTTAGTGTTGCTAGTTGCAACTTACTGTTAAACAACTATCTCCGGCTATTCAAATGCAAGGCTATTGATTGATTAAAGTAGTAAAGTAGATTAAGTAAGTAATTCCCCATAGCAAGTCTTCATATATGTACAGATTTTAACACACCAACAATAGTTTTGCTACTTTTATTCCAATTTATTTTACATACATTTATTCCAATCATATCTATTATTTCACTGGGACGCAATAATATAACAGATTAACTCGTTAATTACCTGAATATTCGTTAATTGATGGGTTTAAAATTCTATTAGAGGTTCCAAGAGATATATCTTGGGGAAATCAAATGATAACGTTGTTATAACATTTCCAAAAGACAAAGATTCCCCAGAGCAAAATTCGAGATTTCAATTATTAAAATAAACAGTTTTCAAAAGGAGCACAAAGTAGTAGAGTAGGGTTAATTTCCTACACAAAGTCCTAAGATGTGGATATTAAAATCTTTTATTCGGCAAGTCGAGAAAACTAAGATCCATGCAATGAGATGCGATGGACCCGCCACCCACACGGTGAATCCGTGGAATGCTGACAGATTTTGTCTTTCATTGAACAAAACTTTTATGGTCTTTAAGGCTTATTCTTTATAGTTAAAGATAATGTGATGTTTACATTTTTTAATTATTTGTAAAAGTAACGATAAGCTATTAGGACTATTGATTATTATACCCTCTGTAGAACAGATATTTATCGGTATCATACATTAATTATTAGCGGAAATACAAGTACATACTTGTTACTACTACATTGTGTTTGTAATTCAAACCAATATATACATATATATATATATATATATATATATATGTATCTGATCTTGGTATGAACAAAAAGGGTTCGATAAGCTGTTACAATTTGTGTTATCTGTACTGACTTGACTCTTGAGTCTTGACGTGTCTTGAACATACACTAGCTGACGTGATATTGTCACAACTCACATATTAAAAAGAAATTTCTTTGAGAATTACAAACGTTAATTAAAAAAGTATCTATAAAAATGGATTTCTTTACATCAATTCCAACGCACATAGATTACGTCGGTCAAGCAAAGGCTGAAAAACTATATAGAGCAATTATTACATTGTTCAGCATTGTTGGTTTTATCTGGGGCTACATAGTTCAACAATTTTCTCAATCGGTGTATATTTTAGGAGCCGGCTTTGTACTTGCAGCAATATTAACCCTACCACCGTGGCCTATGTACCGCAGAAATCCATTGAATTGGCAAAATCCAAAGAATGCAGAAGAAAAATCATCTGGTAAAAAGGGGAAAAAATGAAGAACTGTTTATATTTGTATGTATTTACTATATCATATGAATCTACTTGGATTAAATAAATAGATTTTAAGGTAAAACTTTTTTTATTTATTACAAAATACATTAAACTGGGTTTTAATGTGATTATTTGGTTTGGGCAATGGTCCCTCGGGTTTGTACTTTGGTGAACCATTTTGTACAGTTTTGCTATACAAATATAGATTACGAATAATAATTTTTCAATCTTTATTTTATATTTTCTTCCAAAATGATCCATACATATTAAAGCAATATAATTTATAATAAATAATTTAAACTACAAAGTTTTTGTAGTCAACAATGCAAAATATAACTTTTTAATGTCTCTTGATAGCCTTACAAACCTTCCATACATTTAAAGTTGTAAACTGTGACTTAATTTTATATTTATAATGTGTGATTTCAATTAATAGAAAGCATGTCCTTAAAAATTTCATAGCGAGATAGATAATATGGTTTGACTAGTAATCATATAGTAAGTAATCTTTTACTAATAATTGTATTACAAAGTTTAAATAATACATTTTAATAATGTAAAATTTTTCTATAATGTCAATACTTCATGTACAATTCATTCATTGTCACCAAAACTAAATTTTTCTCTGAGATTTCTAAAAACACTGTAAATTCTACTCTCATCACATTTATCGCAATCACTGGTCTTATCTTCACACTCAGCCTCGGAATTATCTGTTTTTGTACTTTCACCCGTTTCTTTATTTAAATCTTCCTTTTTACTACAATTTTTTTCTTGAGTATCTTTTTTGTCCGTCTCATTTTCCTGGTCTGTGTTAGTAATCGCTTTATCTTGTAACGGCTCTTGTATAAGCAAATTTTCATCAATATAATCATCAACATCATATAACTGTTGTAGAGTTATTATTGCAAACATAAATGTTACACCATAATTAACTATTGAAAGAGAAAATGGTCCCAGAGCACATATCAATACAGCCATTATAAATAGTGCCGAAGACACCATTTCATAGTTTCTTCTGAAACACAAAAAAAAGTACATTACATCACATATCTATAAACCCAAATATATACAGGGTGACTGGTGAATTACTATCGATATTTGAGGACGTGATATTTGACGATCATATATGACAAAATAAAAATTAATATAACATAAATATTAATAAACTTCTAAGTAAAGTTAACCAAAAGTTATGTAATTAATTACGCATCGTATGAACACCCTACAGATTAGGTATACACACACACACACATACGCGCGCGGCGGCGTGTTGTTGTATCAGCACGCACGCGTTCACACTTGGTACGTGTACACCACACTTTATTTATTTATACGGAAATTTGGTCAAAAATTAAGTACCTATTTTTTTTTACATAATTCGAATGAGAATCATGTACCGACTATGCTCCTTAAATATTGATAGTAATTCACCAGTCACCCTGTATATATATATAATAGTTGCCTTTGATAAAAGTTTTAGCATAATAAGCCTAAAAGAATACAAGATATTAACAACATCTTACAAGTTTTTCCTTGGACTATCCATCTGCCAAATAATTGATGAACATGCTGCCATGATAAGTCCAGTGTAGTATGAGGTGTCCGGTTTTAAAACCATAGTATATCTGAAAATATAAATTTTAGTTATGTATAACAAAATTATAATTATATACATTATGTCAGACAAAATTATTACTTGAAGTTTCGTGCCCATGTCAACAAAGCAGGGATATTGACTACAGTTACTGTCATCCACAAAAAGAACATCATGACATGAAAATTTATACTACTTAGGTCTTCATCAATATGGTTCTCACTAGCATCACATTTGTCTATATTTTTAGCATCATTAGTTTGTTTTTCAGGTTGATCTTCATTCTTTTTGGAATGTTCCTTGAACTCTATGGCTTTGAGATTCTCTGAATCAGTACTATCTTTAGAATTGTCTTCTTTTTTAGGACATTGTTTTGAGTCTTCTTTGGGTTTCTTACCCTTGAACATATAACACATTCTACTTGCCATTTTTGCCATCATCTTATAAACATAATCCTCTAAATATTCTTCATACATTTTTGACAGCTAAAACAAAAATTAATATTATCCTCTAACAATTTCTTCTATCTCAGGGTTCATAAGCTAGGCACTACATGAGTTACATGTACATAATGGGTCAGTGTAGAGTTTCAAACATCTCCAAAACTTTTGTTTATATAAGTCCTTTTTAAAAATTATGTGTTGAATTTTATCTAGTTTCTTTATTTTAAGCATGCTGCATTCTAGTCATCTTTTACAAGTAGTGATTTGGTTTTACATTTTTGGAGTGAAGATATTTACTTGTATATTATCACACATGCACAAAAAATTTCACTTCCCTTCAGTGTCTTTAAATTGTTTTTTTCTTACCACAAATTCACCAAATTTTAATCTACTTCAGTTTTATATATATATTTATAACCAAGTTATAACTTACAATGAACATATAGAATGTGGCACCAGCAGCCATTGATGCAGCCCCACAAGACAATGGTACAGCACATATCAGTGCAGCACTAACCAGCATGGGTACTTTCTGTAAACCCACAGCCATTTTTTCAGCCAGACCCATTCCACCACGCCATACTATCCTGAGGGAGAGACATAAAATTAATATACAATTTTATTACATTTTCTTGTAATAAAATAAGTAGAACTCTCTTGGAGAACAAAAATACGACCTATTGCTTTTTATGACTGAATTTTAGCAGTAACTGACAGAGTTGGTTGCTCATTATATTGATTATATTTTATAGAAATTACCATTCTTGCTTTTAATATTTCATTTGGTCTAAAGAAGGTTTTCCATACATTGTAGGATCTTTAAGTGAAGAGAATAAGCAGGTTAGAGATAAACTAAAGTATGATAGTAGATAAAGTAATCCCTAAATATACAGATTAAACCATCTGTTTTACACCTCAAGATAAACTAAACTAAAAAATATTTTTTTAAGAAGAAAATTCATACCTGAATAACAATCGATGTGCCAATTGAGATGAAAATACCATAATAACAAGCAGGGCCAGAGCAATAATATTAATAATACCAAGAGCTGTCATGTATGTTGGTAACACAAGTAGCGAGCGTACAAAGTATTGTAATTCAAGATTTCTCCAACTGGCATTCTCAAAAAGAAATGATAAAAATGGAATTGACCTGTAAAAATATAATGTTAAAGAAAAATGAAACTTTTTTGTTGCTAGAATTATAAATATTTTATATATATACTGAAACTTCAAATAAATAAAAGCTGACAAATACATATGTATTGGTTTTGTACTTTAATTAACTATAAATTTACTTGTTGTTTTTTTTTGGCAAACTAATTTCAGCTACAATTAATTCATTTTCTTAATATAAATTCCATATTATTTATATTTTTATTTAAAAGTTTGCAAAAGAAATTGATACACGTAGTTTAAAATAAATGACTTTGGTACAAGCATTCTAAAGGATGTGACTTTGTTTTGATGATTTCAAAAATTTATTTTATTATAATATAAAAAAATACTCACATAAATGACGTAATAGCTAGTCGGGCAAAGACAAGCACAAAATATGGTCGAACACTCTCACTCATTAAGGCACTATGTATAGAAGGGCATTCACCACTTTGTATATTGAGTATATTATTTCTAGCTGCCAGCAGCAATATAGCTGCCACATACGGAACCAGAATCGGAGTGTAGTTACGCGCCAGTTGAGCCAAACGGTGATACCAGGATATTGAAATACTGAAATTAGAGAAAAATATTATTATGTATACTAAAGGGGAGTTGTTTCACTTGTTTTTGAAGATTTGTTAGATTCAAATATTCATTTGAAATGTGACGGGTTTTAAAATTAAAAGTGAGTAGCTTGAAAAGGCACTTAATCAGTTAAGAATTATATTCTTAAAGTATGTATGTATATATCTGTTTTATTTAATTAGTTACAAACCAACATATTGTACTGAAGTAGCTACTAAGTACACATTAACAAATGAGGGAATTACTAAAGATTAACTCATGTCCATTTGATAATAATTTTAAGTGGTATCACGTTAAGTTTAAATAACTAACCTTACACTAAAGGTGCATTGTGGGTCTAACAATAAAGTAATTTTAACTTTTTCTGTGGCTTCTTGTCCTAATGTTATGTTAGGATTGCTTTCAAATAATCGCAGTTTCATCGGGGATCGTTTGGTAGGGCTGTAAAAAAAATTCATTCATTATTATGTTATGTAAAATTTTTGTAAAAAAAAGCAGTGCTGCCATTATAAAGATACATACGTGAAATAATGGTAATATTCGTTATTCTGAGCCCAAGGCACGTGAACTTCAGCTGATACATGGTACTGTCCCTTACATGTATCGGTAGGTTCCACGTATAGTAAATAAGCTTGGTGTATTGAATTAAATTCTGATACAATCAGCTCATAATAGAGACTATTTGGTACAGTTTCAGCTATAATAACGCGTTTCCCAAATGAATAATCAGATGGCGCTGACACTTCTATTTGTCTGGAAGCGTAATCATTTATATCCACGTTTAGTACAATCTGCAAGAAAGATGGGATTTATTATTAATAATTTTTTTAATTTTTGTATAGAGATTCACATTAACTGAGTTATTATGAAAAAATAATAAGTAAATGTTTTTTTGTAAATGTTTTTTGTAAATAATGATGCAAATATTTGTAACGTCTTTAATAAATTGTCGTACCGGTTTCCTAGTTGGCGTAACTTTAACAATAACGTGCGTCCATTGCGGTTCTTCTTCCATTATTTGATGAAGATGGATGGTCGTTAACTTCCTCCTTCCGAAGTCGGTTGCTGCACCCGACCATCGACTTAATTCGCTTAGTGATGTCGCCTCTTTACTGTAAATTAAGGCAATATAAATATTATGTTCAAGATATTGGTTTATATTTCCTTTGATGCTAAAGGAATATAATCAGAAGGGTAGCGTGCCTTGGTAGGGCCTTCTATAAAAATTTGTTTGGGGGCCCTATTTGTTTGAAATAAAAATAACAAAAAGGGAAATCCGGAAGCCTGTAATAGCCGACGTGCTGGTGCTTTGCCAACTTTTAAACGAGGTGGCAAAAGGGCCTCATGGCACTATAATTGACACGGTAGATACGCACCTGAACATAAATCTTCTATTATTTAATTTAGTAAAGCTACTTTAATCAAATTATTAAGATACAATTAAAATTTGTCGAACTTGAAGTATCTTAACGATAATTTAAAAAAAAACACAGATAAAAAATTAGACTCATGGAAACTAAAATAAAAATAGAATAATTATTTACATTCAATTGATAATATGTGACTCATAAACATCTTAGTATTTATCAGAAACATAAAGTAATAACGATAAAAATGACGTTCATCAATTATAGGGGGCAATTTCACACAAAATTATGAGCGTTCAGTTATTGGTTTTATTTTATCTACTATTAATATAGGCACGTATTAAATTTATGAAAACGATACATATGATTACGTTATTGCTTAGTCATGCCTGAAAGTATAAGAAATTATCTTTACGTGACTAACTGGCGGAAAAAAGTCAGAGATGAAAATTTTCTAGACGATTAAACAAAAATTATTATATTTTTGATTCAGGGCTGTCTGTGACGCACATTTTTTCTTAGTGAAAGGCAAAAAACTTACCAATATCTGTAATTATTGTGGACATCCTTAGCGGTGCATCCGAATATCCAGTCTTTATCATAAACGTTAGTAGATTCGATCGCAACAAATCTATTTTGAGGGAAACTTACTAATCTTATCATTAAATGTGTTGTTCTGTGGAAAATGTATTGTTTGTTAAGTATTTCATAGTTATTGAAAACTTCTTATTCTAATATGGCTTTGTCTTCAATGATACTGACTGTTCTAATTTCCGTTTCAAGATAAGACGAAACAGTATTGAAGTTATTTGAAAAAGGTATGTTCATTTTCATTATCTTTGATATTGTAGTAAATCTAACTATAGTTTCCTTATTTGGTCGTTAGCCATGTTTACTTGCTCTATATTAGACATTATTGTGTCAGCAATGAAAACATGAATAATGAAAATTTTCATTGATAAGATAAGATGACGTTATCTTACATTTATGGTGAGGAAATAACCTTATGATAAATCTTATATTTCCTATAAAATCATAAAAGGGCCAAGTATTCGGAAAATTGTATTGAAATATGTCAGTATGTAAGTATTTTTGCGGTATTGGAATACTTATTTTAGACTCAACACAAACGCATCATCTGCGTTTGGAGAAACGCCAGCGTCGACGTGTTCCCAGTAGCAAGCTTTTTATAGATATTACGTTCACTATGGTTTTGTAGAATATATTTATAATATTACGATAATTCATTTCCTGCTGTCCTTATTAAGGAAGAAGGGTTTTATGAAACATTCATAACCTTTACTAAAGATTTTATTATTTATAATTATAATCGAGTAGGTATGTAGTGATATTTTATAGTAATTTTATGAATATTAATTAAAAAAGATTTATTAGAACTTTATACAAAACCTTATCGATCATGTGTCACAACATTCATCAACTTCAAATAAATATTTACTCTGAAACTAGAACAAAATGATAAGATATTTACCTTTCGATCCCCGGTCGTGATATCTGATAAATTCTCCTGCTATCTTCATACCAAAAACCGTCGACTTGCATACTGACATTACGACGTATTATAGACGTATCTAAAGTTATTGAACGATTCGCCTGAAAAAAAAAAGATTCAAATACTATTTTTTGCTCGCGACTTCGACCGCCTTAATTAGCTGGCCTTCGAACTCTATTTCGCCCTAGAGACCATAAATAACCAGATATTGGAATTAATTAATTTTATTTTTTCCGATTGAACAGAATTATATATCCTATTTTCATCTCCTAGATCTAAGTTATCTCCCCACGAATTTTCAACCACATCCCAACAGATGTTCTTGAGTTATAAATAGTGTAACTAACATAACTTTTTATATATATAGTGAGATCAGTAACTAAAATTACCTTAAAATATTGTCTAGCTTTTTGATTAATATAAGCCGAGTTGCTTGATATCTGTTCGGTCCATGTATCAACAATGTCAAAGAGGAATCTATTGATAACGAGCACCAACTGTTTGCACCACACCATACTAACATGATCCGGACTAACCCATACACCTGGAATAGCTGTAGACTAGAAAAACAATTATATATTCAATATATTATATAATACTTTGTTAAAATCATATATTTAGTATATAAGAGGGGTTTGTATCAATGCTACTAATATAAAGATAAAAGATTTGAAGGACAGATGAAAGTACTGTTCAGTAGGTTGTTAACAAAACTATGGATAATATTTTATTTTAACACAATGTTACTTTTCAAAATTAGTTAAATTTTTTGTAAAATAAAATTCATATAAATAAAAAAAATTCATGAAATCTTTGAAATAATTTTTGTTTGTGACGTGACGTAAATTATGAAATACATATAATTATGATTTGACATTCAGTTTAGACTTAGCAATGAGTGTTGTAGTCTCATACTCTGTTTTTTCATCAAAATTCAAAATGATGTTTTAACACCTAGTTCTTTAACTAGGTACTTAATAAAACAAAAAGACTTGTCATGAATTAAAGGGCTTTATAAATTATGTATAAGCATATATGTATTAAGTTGTGCAATATTAGATATAAGGAAAATAAAATTATGTCGTACCAGAGTATTAATATGGCTATAGTTAGAAGCTGTTAAACCAGCTGGTATCAGCATATCTCGAGGGCCACTTCCAATACTGATAAGAATCTTATCATGTCTTAAATTTGATCTCTTATATTCCATCCATTCCATATCCATCCGCATATAGTATTCATTTATAAGTATATCAAAATTAATGACCGGTGCTTTCAAAGGTGCAACTAGAGTTATTGCAATATTGGTTGAATTTGTTGTATATGGATATGTTAGTAATCTCTTTGCGATAAGTCCACCCTGAAATTTATGAAATTGTTATTTTTCTAATGCAAAAAAAATATACCCATCATTAAAACTATTCGGTTACCATTGAATGTCCAATAAGAATTACTGATGTTGGTACTGACTTAGTATATTTATTGCTTTTGTATAATGTAAGTATTTTATTAATACATGCTGAAGCAAATTCAGTCTGCCCTTGCAGAACTCCACCATATAAGCCTGATAATTCTTCATTATAGCTAACTGCAATATGAAATCTACACTTATTGCTTGGAATATTCTATAAAATATTATAAGCTTTAAGAAGAATACATACTTGTAAAATAGTCAAAATGATATTCATATGATCCCGATAAAGCCTTTCTCAGTGCAACTGAAGCTAAAGATCTTGCTTGCATGTGGCTACCAGAATTGCCAGGAAGAAATAATACAGGTATTCCATCAAACCTAGAACAATAATATTAGATGGATAGCTTCATCTAACAAAGAAAAAAATGTTTCACTATAAGGGGATTGTATTCTTACCACATCTTTCTAGCCTTTTCAGTAAATCTTCCTTCACTATAGGCATATAGACCATATTGAGGATATTTTTTATTCTCTTCTAAAGATATTCGCTGGGAAAGAATAAAATTTTAAATATCTGAGAATATTTTATCATTAAATGTTAATGAAAATACTTACTACAAACTGTGGATATTCAAACATAAATGTCATCGCGCAATAATTATTTTTGTCACTAAAATAATTATTTAATATCCCAAACATATACACAACAACAAATAAACATGATATTATTTGAACAGCACTCATTCCTACTATATTTAGTATTTTCATTTTTATAAACTATATAAAATTACGTTACACAATACTATTACGTATATTTGTCGATCCGACTCAAATAAGTATTAAGTAAACCAGAATAAATAGAAAGTTCACATATTTTAATAATAATATTTTCTTCAATTCTCGGCATTAATATAAATAACTAACTAAACGAACTAAACAGCACGCAATCGGCAATCCTGTCACTTGTCATTTTAAAATGTTGCCAAACACGAACTTTGGCAATTGAAAACCAGCAATACGTAATGCAATTAATTAAAAATTCTTAGAATATATTGAAATGGCGATTAGTAAATATGGGACAAACATTTTTAAAAGGTTTAATTGATGGTATTTTTGTATTCTATATTTTAAAAAAACTTTATTTTTAGAAAGACACGCATGTTGTCAATATAAGTCTAATAAACTAAACGTAAATCAAATATTGCAAATCATTCTTCGTGTTTTTTAATTCGTTTAGTGTCAGCCTATACAATGGTTAATTTATTTATTTTTTATTTATAATTGTATTTTCTCAGCATATACAAATGTTAAATACAATACAAAAAAATGCGGCAACCCTGCGGTTGTCACCGTCACCACACCGAACACTGTCGTTTGACGTCTGGCACCAGGCACTTTAAAAAAAGGAAACTACTGCTTTTAGTTCAACGTCTCTTGAACAATTTATAATATTAAATATATTTAACGCAAACACATGTTAACGGCTTAACCACATGGTTACGGCTGCTGTTACAACAATTGATTTAAGTTTCCGAAACATCTGTTTATTTGTAAACACCATAACTGACTACATTAAAAACAACGCCACATAACTGTACCATAATGGGAATCATTATATCTACAATAACACTTATTATTCTGCTTTTTATGGTCAGAGTGTTTTACTTAATGTTCAACGTTTTCACTGGGAAATGTGGAATTAGTAGTAAAAATAGGACTTTAAAAACAATATTCTGTATCGGTTCTGGGGGACATACATCGGAAATGATAAGAATAATATCGCATATAAATTTAAAGAAATATGAACCTCGCCTTTATATATTGGCGGATAATGATAGCAGTAGTGAATATAAAGTGAAAGAAGCTGAAAAAGAAAATGTTTTTATGATTCATAGAATTCCAAGAAGTAGAAATGTAAAACAGTCATATGTTTCATCTATTTTTACTACTATCAATGCAACCTTGCATACTTTACCACTGATATGTCATTTCAAACCAGAAGTTATATTCTGTAATGGCCCTGGAACCTGCATACCTGTTTGTTTAGTTGCATTTTTGTTAAGATGTCTTTTTATTCTCGATTGTCGAATTGTTTTCATAGAAAGCGTATGTAGAGTGAGAACTTTATCATTGTCTGGGAAAATTTTACAGTTTTTTGCTGATGTCTTTGTTATCCAGTGGCCTGAATTGAGACATGCATGTATAAGAGCTAAATATTTCGGTAGATTAACATAAATATTGTTATATTATTGAAAATAAAGTTATATAAATATTTTATTGTTTTTTTATAAACAAACAAAACATACCATAGGTCACATACTTGGTTAATAGCAGTAAGAATGTTATAAAATAATGATAAAATCATGTACATAATATTTTAATTCTGTCTTGCCCATGGGTAATAAGAGATACATAAAGAAAAATACATACATTTTATTTTTAATAAACATAATAATGTAAGTCAAAAAGCCTCATACAATAAATACACACAGTTTACCTCAAAAGAAAAATAAACAACTAATAATTTAAGGAAAAAAAAAAAAAACTAAATGAGAAAAACCCCACAGATCTAAGGTTATTCTAAATAAATGATAATCACAGTGAAGACATTCTTAATACATTGTTCAACCTAGACTGAAGTAATACTATCTCAGATCAACATATTATATACAATACATGTAATGGTAAACGGCCAACAATGTAAAGTGTAAATGTCTCAGTCTTAACAATCATAAGTGTATAATTCAATAATTTTTTTCTGTAAATGGACATAAAGGACATCATAAAACGCTACATATCGAAAAATTATATTTACATAGGTACTATAATAAAAATAACTGAAATTTATATGTGCACATAGGAACCTACATTATTTACATTCTCATGAAACTATCCTCTCACAAATGCACATTCCGTTAAACAAAAAAAATAAATGCTGATATTTGTATAAACACTTGTTTTAAAAATTCAGAACATCTGTTAACAACCTGCTTAGTTTAAGCAAATCTCATGGACATATGATTTTTTTTTAATAAAAAGATGTAAGATACTACTTTTACCCAACACTGGGTGAATAATACATAGTAAATAACAATTATACTTATTTGTTAAAAAACTATAAGATTTAAGTTACACAACTTAAGAGATTATTTAACTTATAACTTATGAATCAACTTAAAAATAATGCATCAAAACTATGAATATAGACAGATATGAAACCGGTTAGGTGTTCAATCACATGTGAAAGCACATAGTGTACAATATAATATTATATTAATATTGCCAACAAGTCAATATTTAGGCACAATCGAGAATACTTAAAAATTACTTTGCAATTGTATTAAGTACAAGAAGGATTTAAGTTCTGCTTGTAAAGCCGCTTTCTAAGGTGTTTATGTACATACTAGGGCTTAATGTCATTGCTGGAGTTATTTTGGTGACTTGTCTCCTGCTTGGCTATATCGGAGTTTTTATTTTCTATATGGAACTTCTCGTCATCAAAGAGATACATTGCTTCATCGTATGTTGGTGGTGGAGGTTCTGAACTTGATGGTTGAGGTTTACTTGTTGCTGCATTCGATATCAGAGCATCATACGAGGGTGGCAATGTTGCACTTGAAGCTGTCCGAGGAACTTGGCCACTGTATGCCTGCTCAGCTTGAACACTTGCCATATCCTAAATAAGAAAAAACATTCTATAATTTACATGTTCCTTTAATTAAAGTTAAATAAAAACATAGCTAGTTCAGTTATCAGTAATTATTTTTTTAAGGATCCGTAGACATAACATTTTTATGACATTGTAAACTATAATCTCAAGGTTAAAAAATATTTATAATGTTTTCAACACAAAGATGCTATTACTATAATGATACTTTGTATGTTTATGATACATATAGTAAGAGAGCACTACAGGGAAGTGAATTAAGTAGTAATTACAAAACATTTAACTGAATAAATTATCCTTGAAGAAGAAACAACTAAAAGCTGAGTTTATTTGCAGTGACAATATTGAATTTTGATATAGTGAAATTCATTCTGGGTTAAGGTTACATATGACATATAAGATACATAAATAATTATAAAGTAAACAGTTTAATAGCTTTTTATATCTTAAAACAATTAAATATTCGAAAGATATGCGTCAAATTTTCGGAAAAAAAATTATTAAAAATAAAATAAACATACAACACTTACTCTAATAATTGCACGTTGATGCAGAAGCATTTGAATTACGCTTTTTCTTCGCAAATACAACATACTCTTTACGGCTACCATCATTCCTGAACATATAAATATAGGTCCAACGAGCCACATGTGGCCTAAATTACTTAATATGTAGCCTTCGGTGTCTCCCAATGCTAGTACTGTAATAACAGTGCCAACTGAAAATAGAACCATGGAGAGCACAAAATAGGAATAACTCGTGCAATCACAACGACCAAATCTTTGATCTTCATCTAGGTCGAAATCACGATGCCGTAGACGGTGTAGTCGTTGTCGAATAAAAGGACTATCGAAAACGGTAGCCATTTTTCTATACTGTTATTCTCCACGCGAAATTATTGTATTACTAAAAACTTTCACAACGAAAACATATTGAAGTGAATGGATATTGCTTCCAAAATACATACAAAAATACCAACTTCGTGCAGCACTAATGTTTCTGCTTATCTCTCTGTCGGTAGACTAAAAAACAGAAGTTTAGATATTTATTTTTTTGAACATACATAGATTAAAATAAAACTGATCATAGAGAATAAGAAAATAGCAGAATTAAAGAAAAGTAGATAAGGTATGTAACCTAGTATACTGTTTGATTTATTAGTGCGGTTTGCAATATTGCCAATAGTAAATATTACGAAAATAAGTATGTTAGTTAAATAATGTTAATTATATAAGTCTTATATTATGTATAACATACTAATTACTTATAAACTTAAAACAGCCACCGTGACTCTATTGCTACTTCTGTCTTGAAACTGCTGAAAACGAAGGTATTCTGTAGTTTCATTTGGCAGACTATTTCTTTAGCATGATGAACATACGATACTTACAACAATATTTTTAAACTCGACTGCCCATGCTAGACAATTTTCCTGTGTGTGCTGGTAGGAATCCTAATATCTATTGTAGGATATTATGAGGTATATGGGCTAATTTGTAACTTTTCTTTCATTTCATAGTTACAACTTTCAAAATATGTCTCCAGCTTGAAACGTTTTGCGGATACTGAGTTGTAAAATAGATTCGTTGGCTTAAAAAAATCTCTAAAATCAATAACGTTTGCATATCGTTTTTATTTATTTGTCTTACTAGTCTTAAGCTCAAATCAATAGTTTTGATTTTTGGTAGATATGTATATATAAAAGTACAAACATTAATACATTCCATAAATTTAAAGAAATATTTTTAAATTACTTTAATTTATTTCTTTAAAAGACCTTTTGAAAGTATTATAAATAAATTTTATAAAAAACATAAACAATATCAGCTGTTTCATTTATTATTTTAATGACTGGTCATACATATATGAAATATGTCAGTGTCAAAATTGCAGATTACAGAAATTGAATAAACTGCGTGTAAAACTGTAAATGGAGTATACCAAAAAGAATAAATACTAAACTGTGTCGCTTTTTTCAAAAAGTAGTTTATATATTTATTCCATATTTGTTTTACTTATTAAAAAGTTTTTGAATAACAATATAACTTGGTGACAATTCGTATAATAAGGGTTTTAAAAACAAATTACCATGGCTCGTTTGTTACTGTTGTTATTTTGTACTATTATTTTAGAAAAAGGTGAGTCACATTTTCAGCAGAGATATAATGTTATCTAAAGGGCCATTAATCCTATTGAATAATAATACGACTTATATTAACATTATTTAAGAAGCCATTTTTATTGCAGCTGTTTCTGCTTTGAAACTGTCGATAGTAAGCGATGGTCCAGCAGTGCGTGGGTCTAATCTTACATTTACAGCCACTGTCGCTGGCTATCATGGCGAGAATCTTAAATATGTGTATTGGGATGATGCACAGCCCCAGCACACAGCAGAGGTAAAATATGAAAAATAAAATATATACTTGAAATATTCTTACTGTTTCAAGTCAACAACTCTAAAGTTTGAACTATTTTAACTTGGTACAGATATAATTATTCCATTTTTATTGATCTTGAATAAATATCAGTTACTTATTATATTTATACATATATAATCTGTAACATATTTGTTGTTGTACTCAATTTGCTTGTCTGTTATCTGGTGTTTTCTTCGGGATGAAAATTAAATTCAATTAAAAATATTTAAAACAGAAGGTAAAATACCACCACAGATAATTTTAAATAAAATTTCGTTTTATAAAAAGAATAAATTTGGAAAAAACAAAACTACTTCACTTGTTAGTATGTTAATTTATTAAATAAAATTAACAATTGCACTCAAATCTGTTAACATAAGTGACACATATCTTTTTAAATATTTATTATATATACCTGCTTTAAACTTCTATTTTTTTTTTGAAAGATATTTGTCATGTAGGAAATTAATAACTTGGTTATATTGTAAAATTTTCTTAAAGTCATTTCAGTCTTAAATAGACCATATAGTGTACATATTAATAAGTTTATGAACATTTTACCAGTCCAAGGATGTAACATTATCTTGCTTGCTATAAATGTAAATAGCAATATACTTTTACCATTGATAACATGAACTGGGTATTTTTCCAAAGCCCATAGTATGCAAATCAACCATAAATTAGCATGTTATTTTATCATGAATAGCACCTACCACTTGTAATCAATATTTTCATTCTTACCTGTAACATATCATTGTTTTTTTTTTATAGTTGAATTTTTTTTTTCTATTTATATTCCTTGAAAAATTCATTATTCATAATAATTATTCTAATCTGGGCATTGCTATTGTAGACCACAAGAGTTTAATGACATTCATACAACACAATTGTTATCCTAGAATTGATAAGAATGTCTTTTTTAATTAATAAACATACTTATTACTTATTAAAGACTTGTTTAGATGTTTCCATGAATTGAATAAAGTCACCCTCAGATAAAGAAATATTATTTCTAACTATCCTTGTTTTGGGTTCCATTTAATTGATACACTCCCTAGTATTAGCTGGAGGTTTAAATTTCAATGGTCTGGTAGTCCAAGTATATTAGCAATATTGTAGTACTGTATCAAATTTCTTGTGGTGAATGACTTACCTTTTTCTTAATGTCATTATAAATATTTGAATAAGATTTTGCAAAACTCCATTCAATGGTTTAATTGTTTTATAACAGACATTATTTGTTCTTTCAATCAAATGGTATTAATTTAAAATTGAGCACAATTTTAAGTGCCAGAAGAACTATTTCTTTTAAAGTATTTACGAGCATTCAACTTTTATTACACAACAAATTTTTCATCCATTTATCATATGTTACATTACAGCCAGCTGTGGAGTAGGGGTAAAGATAAAGGCCAATGTATTACAATAGTTGACCTTAAAGCATTTTTTCGTCTCTTTTTGAATTAATTCTTTCCATATACTAAACAAATTTTTAAAGACCCTGTTTATAGTGTGTATAATGGATTAGCCAGAATTAATCAAGTTTTTTTATGATATTTACATGTGAAGATATTACTTATCATAAACATTTTAATATTTTCAGTTTATTTTATCATCAAACACATCACAATGGATAGTTGAGTATCCGAGGTCAATGTATGAAGCTGGTGATTACACTGTCAAAGTGAATTTAATGAAAAGTTTCTATGGAATATGGTATCTTGTTACAACTTCAAGTACTAACTTTCAACTTACTGGTAAATAGTATACTATATTATATATTTATTAAAGCAAATTGAAAACATATTATAAAATTTATTTGATATTCCAGATTCACTTAATGGCAATTTGATTCTTAATCAGAACAATTTAGACAGACCAAATAAGTTTGTAGCTGTCAATAAGACTGTGCATCATTTTATAAAGCTGCCAGAGAATGAACTGGAGTTTCTTAAAAGGAATGCCTCAACAGTCGTAACATACTGGTTCATAGATTGTCTGTACATTGATCAGACGACAGATTTTTCACTGAACTACACATACCAAGATGTGATGGCAGATCATTATATAGATGCTTTGGTTGTGGCCAACAATGAGCCGTTGCCACCAATTACAACTACTACCACAACCACCACAACAACTACCACCACCACCACAACGACTACAACCACAACCACGACTACGACCACAACAACTCCAAAGCCAATTACATCAAGCACAATTCCTTCAACTACACCTGGCATTATTAGCAATGATACCCATAAAATTGCAAAGAGGTCTCTGTTGAACAAGACAAAGATTAGCCCCATCAAAGATTTTATTTGCCATAACACAAGTATAGTCCCTATTGGCGAGACTTACACTTATGGACATTACCAGGAAACAATCAGTGTGAGAGGTAAATTGACAAGCAATATTGTTTAAACTATCTTCCATTATCTTTATATTGTATTACAAGTGTTCTCTATTTAAAAAATCTTTAATTGATATTTTTTCAAAAATTTTATATCTTACAATTGATTGAAATTATGCTGGGATTTTATCTATCCATTAAATTTATGTTAAATAATTATTATTTATTATTAACTGCCTAGTCATAACTTTTTTTATACACATTTTTAGTTTCTATGCATATTTTTTTGACCTACTTTTATGATTATTGTATAAAATAATAATGAAAACTATTCTATCATATTGCAGAGCAGATAACAACACTTAATATAACTGGAATGAATTGGCTCCAACATGGTGATCTGTTGAACTTACAAGTGAAATACACTGGGACACCACCCTTCGACTACTGTGCAATGTACAAAATGGGTCAATACAATGTAACAGGAAATGAGACATGTGCAGTCAAAACGAGAACCTTATCGAATCTATTCCCATTAGTTCATTACTTCTCAGACAGCAACCAACATACGGTGGTTGTTGTAGTTGAGAATGAAATAGGCAAGGCTGTGTCTAGAGCAACTATTAATATCTATAAGGGTATGATATATTATTATTAAATATTTATTTTTATTATTTAAGTTGATTTTTTTTTAAGTTGCTAATTAATATATACTAGTAGTTACTGAAATGTGATCCCATTGAAATTGGAAAGATTACATATTTTTATAATGCATATACATATGACACACATACACAGTTTGGATTTTTATATTGTAAAAAGTAAATCATATTTTGACTTAACCTTTTTTTAGTTTTGATATTTTGTTGCCATTTTGAGCCATTACAATAGTAAGAAATCTATTACTTATTTAGTTGTAATGAAATATGCAACTAGTGTATCAAGAAAAACAGACATGATTGATTTACTTGTAATAAGAATAACTGTTGTTTGTATATAGCTATAAAAAATGTATGTCGTTGTGCTTATAGTTTTTCATCCCTATTTACAAATCAATTGTCTGAATTATCATTGAAATAATAACTTGTTATTTATTTCTTTATCCTCAGCGTCAGTCCACGCTCAGTTGTCTGTAATAGTGGTGCCGGTGGTGTTCTGTCTGCTCGCTGTTATATTAGTAGTGTTTGGTATCGCCTTTTACCAACATCGCTCCAGGTAAACAAATATTTTGCACTAGCTTTCCGGCCACAGCTTCGCCCACCTGGAGTCCGGTTATATCGCGTTTCCAAGAGAACCTTCAAAAGTCTGGAATAAAAACTATCCCATGTTCTTTCTCAAGGTCAACTCCATCTCTGTACCAAATTTCTTTAAAATCAGTTCAGTGGTTTAGGCGGAAAGCGTATTTTGCATTGTTAACCCCCCGCAACACCCCTTGTGGGTGGAATTTCGTAAAATCCGTTCTTAGCTGACCTATACTCGGCGAAAGGAAAAATCCTACCAAATTTCAAGGCGCTACGGCTTAGGTTCCAGAGATATTGTGATGAGTCAATATATAGGTGGAAATCTCTTTTATATATATTATATAGATAAAATTATCTGTCGTTAAATCAATTAATATTGACATTAATGTTACACAGCATTGACATTTGACATTAATAAATTTTTATACTTTTTATGAAAGAAAATTTTCACAAATCAAGAACATGTTAGTATGTCTTCGTATACATATTTATATTCTGGTTTCATTATAAGCGCATTATCTTTATATATTTCAAACTATCACTTTCCGTTAAGTTTTATTATCTGTGACCTGGTTAAAAGTCATAAATTACCGGTTGAAGTATGGAACATAAGATAAAAAAATAAAAAAAATCGGTATGTTTTTAACATTATTGAAAGCAAATAGATAATATAATTGAAAGTAATAATAGTGATCACAGAAAACGATATCTGGAAAATCCTTAAGTTCGCGCCACAATCTTATTTTTTGGGATATTATTGAATATTATTAAGAGTGTATAATTCACTTGTCTTCATGCTCCAATGGTCTTGTATCGTCTAAAGGCTTTTTATGAGGCCCCTGCTGTCGAAGTAGTGTGTTATTGAAATTTAAAGTTTCAAAAACTTAATCCAAATGACAAACATAGTCTTTTATAAAGAAACAGCATGTTTTATAATTATTTATTTTGAAATTAGAGAGCCATTTAATGCTCAATAGAATTGATTCAAATATAACCATTTATAAGGGTTTGAAAGAAATATCGGCCCTTTTCTTACTATTATTATTTTGAATATATCTATCAATGAATCAATAGGTTTACTTTGTTACAATTTTATCCATGTGACTGATTTTAAGCAGAGCTCGGAGAAGACCAATCGATATTTAGTTGATTTAATATTAAATTAAACGACTTCGAATTAGTCTGTAATATTATACAGGGTGACTGGTGAATTACTATCAATATTTAAGGAGAATACTCGGTACATGATTCTCATTCGAATTATGTAAAAAAAAATAGGTACTTAATTTTTCACCAAATTTCCGTATAAATAAATAAAGTGTGGACACGTTCCAAGTGTTCTAAGTGTGGACGCGTGCGGCGGCGTGCTGATACAACACCACGCCGCCGCACGCGTATGTGTGTGTGTGTGTGTGTATACCTAATCTGTAGGATGTTCACACGATGCGTAATTAATTACATAATTTTTGGTTAACTTTACTTAGAAGTTTATTAATATTTATGTTATATTAATTTTTATTTTGTCATATATTATCGTCAAATATCACGTCCTCAAGTATCGATAGTAATTCACCAGTCACCCTGTATAATACTAAAACGTAAAAAAAACATTAAATCGGTGAAATTTTTCGGCTGTTATCAAGACAGCACCTACTTTTTAAAATATATTTTAAATTTAAATCAACTGTTTTTTTTTTGGTAAATATACGTATAAACGTTATTTTAGAAATGCGATGTACAAGATATATAGACAATTGAAATTCTGAAAGTCGCTTTTAGTGTAGTGAAAGTAGAAGAACCCACGTCAACGCTACAGTTACGTATCGTGTAGTAATCGAAGTGTGTATGCTTGTCACACTACATACGGAGTATTAACATTTTTCAGTCATAAATTTTTGCTTTCATATGAACGTAGGTTCAATAACATTTTAAAGGATACTCCCGTTTCTCCTGCAATAATAATAAAAGGGAAACGGTTGTGTACTCAGATTACGCAAATTTCAGCATACTTTTGTAATATGAAACAAATATATAAATTTAAATGTTGTGTCCAAGCAGTTAAATTATTTCCTACATGGCATTTTTCTATCAGAATTTATATAGATAGGGATAAAAACAACTGGAATGGATTAGTAGGTATATATTACAATCTAGCGAGGCTTTTATACAGAGATAAATAAAACCAAAAAATTATCATTTACTTTTTAAATATATTTATATATTTACAGATATACAGTGGAGGTGGCTGATTTTGATTTCGGACAACAAGTTAACTTTGACTATAAAACCTTCACTGAACGACTCCGGGATAGTTTCAGGAATGCTTTAAACTTCAGACAGAGAGATGACACCGAGCCACTTACATCCGACACAAGATATGATTCCATGCCATAAGTAGAAAGTTTCTTATAAAAAGTATAGCTCATTAAAATGTAAAGGATCATAAAGTGCTTAATATTAAATGAAGCATCTTGGCTCAACGAAGTACAGTGATTGCTTACTTATTTATAATATATTTTAATGTACCAAATTTTTTGTATTTCATTATATAAACTTGTTCATTAATTGCATAATTTTATATTTTCTGTAAATAACTAATTATAAATCAAGTTGTGTGTAATATAAATTAATTAATATCATTCCAGTTTATTTATTAATATGTATATTATGTAGCTGTTGAAAAATTAACTTCCCTTCCCTTTGTAATGTCGGTTGATTGTAGTTCCTAAAGTTTAGCACAAGATATGTTAGTTTAGACAGCAATGTTCGGATTTATGACAATTATATGTATATTGATAATCACATGATTCAATTAATTATTATATATATTTTGTATAATAAATTCGACTAAAACGATGGCCATATAGTTAGAGGTCCAGCATTAATTTTAGCATAGTGATCTCTGTTGTATATTATGAAAAGTATTATTTATATATTGTAGGTGTTATTAAATAAGAATTACTTATAGACTGAAAAATGCTGTTTATATATAATACAATATTATAAACTTTCTATATATAAAGCCTGTTTAATTTAATATATTTATTTAAGATTGACTGTATTGGTTAACTAACTGTTTGTCCATAATGTTATTCAGCAACAATTATTAAGGTACTTTAATATGTTTTTGTTATTTTTATCTCATCACCAGTTATTTATTCATTGGTAAACATTTTTATCACCAAAAATGATATAGTCCCTAGTTTTGTAATGTATAGGATGATCTAAAATTGTTTTGCCTGTGCTTTGAAATTGAATCAGTCGTATTTTGTGATATAATAAATAAAAATAATTAGTCATATAAACTAGCACTTATAGTTTTTGTATATTAGAAGCGGAGTGTTATGTAGATAATGTATAAAATATGTTATTTAAAACATGTTTATTTCGTTGGAAGTATTGGTAATGTAATTTTATTTTAATATAAAATAAATAACACAGTTTCCAAACATATTTTCTGTTTGTGTGTGTTTTAAACATTAATCTTTGATTCATATATTAATGTTATTTACTTGTGTTTGTGTTTGGGTTTGTGTTATCTGAATCCCCTTTGCTCTTCATATCTATACACACTTTGCCTCTAATGTACGAAATGTATATAAATTAATACGTAGTTATAATAAAGTGTTATATGGAAATATGTGTTTATTTGTTAATAATATATGTTACTGTTACATATTATGATGAAATATTTCTCACCCGCTCTTAAAAAAAAGTTTAAAAGTAAATTATCTTAAAAGAAATTGGTGTATCATTGGATGCACTATGTAGGTACATTCTTATATTTTACCTATATTTACTTCAAAGGGAATGTCTGTATTTTTCTGCTTATACTATTCTCACCGGAAGTAGACAAGATTTTTGAAAGTATAAAGTGTAAATCAATAAAAATATTTCTTCGATTCATACAAATAAGTGTTATACACTCAATCGAACGAATATAAAAGCAGCTGCTCCCGTGTATGCATAAATATAACTCATAAAAGAATAATCTGAGAAAATTTCATGCTATGAAATGCATTCAGAATTGCGAGCACAATTTAAATACCATACCCCGTTGTAGGTCACGCTCGAGACCCTCACAGACTTTTACGAAGTTGCACCTGAATAAGCTGTCACTGAATTAGATTCAAAGGGATTCTAATTTAATTACGAATGAATTATACGTGTTTTGACTTTAAACTCGCGTGTACAACTTAAGTTTTATATTTTTTTTATTTTTAGACGTTGTTCAGCCTTTCAATAGACTTCAAAAGGGCTGTCCATTAAGTGGATGTTTTCTGCTTATAATATTTTTTTCACATTTTATTAAAAATTCAATGTTTTATTTTATTATATTGAAATGAGATTTAATTAAAGAAAAACTTAAAGAAATTTAAAACGAACTATTATGTCATACAAATTAACTAAGTACTTATACAATAAAATATATAGGTACAGTGAATAAAATATAAATATATTCAGAAACAACAATGATTTGAAAAAAATCAAAATATTATTTCTATACAACACATTAAAGACTTAACGATTTGCTACTTATAAGAAGTCATAAAAAATCGGTAAATTAAGTTTTATAAGCCAAATTTCAAAATCCTAATCTCATTTCATACTTGACTCGGACACTGTTAAATGGTGGAAATGGAGTGTTAGATGTGGTTGACTATTAAACGGATAATTGCCACATTTTTATTCTCCGCACACTCGCAACTTTGCTAAAGCAATAACTTCCCCTGGCTAATTTTACTCTAAGCACAGTAAAGCCGAAATGGACATTAAAAGTACCCGGGTTTCGCATTTCATTAAAATTTCTACTCAAAGAGTGTGGCATTACGGTCCCGGGTTAAATCCTTTTAATCGTATATTTTATATCATGAATAACATGTTTTTATAATGATCTGTTGTTGTTTTTAACGATTTCTTCAAACACATAAGTGGTTCAATTAACTAGGCATCATTTGTAAATAAGTAAAGATTATCTGTAATTGTCTTTTCCTGTTTTCGTTCGTAGTTTTTGTAGTCAATGCTCAGAGGCTAATTCTAAGAATGAGTTATATTTTTTTTTTCAATAATGTAGGTATGTACGTACAAAAGGATGAGTATAAGAATGAGTCAAGATATTTATTAAAATCTTTATTACACTCAATAAGTTTATTAGATTAATTTAACTTTTACTAACAATAAGTGAACATATGACAATTTTATCTATGTACATGTAATAATATAATGTTAATCATACGATGGTTCACCGGCGACAATTGAACTCTCAATTCCGCAATGGTCCTCACCGCGAAGCATTTTGAAGAAGCCGTTGTCTCCCCAATCTGTATTCCAAGAGTTAGCAATTAACCAATATTTGTTTCCATTTTCAACTCCCCATCCCATTATTTTGACTGCATGTCCGCCAAGAGCATTACCCTCGGTATGCTTATAGACACCACTTTTGTATGCAAGCAAATCCGCATATACGGTAAATGCACCTTCAACTGGACCGTTTTTAAATATTTCAGCTTTTATCTGTTCTTCACCTCCTCGTATGGAGTACACATGTTTTGCGTACTTTTTATCAGATTTATACGAATTATTATATCCTTCCCTGCAAGTTCTGTGACATTTGGGAGTGACAGTGTCACTAATACATGGGCCTCTTTTCCCGGGTACATGATGCTCGCAGGGAGGTATTTCATAAGGGAGACATCCTTGTGATGAGTTGTAGTTACCTCCGGATACAATACCAAAATGTTTGTAGTACTCCCAAGCTAGAGTTGGAATACCACCATTGCATCCTAGTCCACAAACGGGACAGCAGCTTAGTAAATCTTCTGCCGAAAAATGGAAATGTTTTGTACCATTTGAATAAATACAATAACGATCAGTCATAGCTTCAACTGCTCCGAAGGCCCAGCAGCTTCCACAAGATCCCTGATCTCTTATTTCGTTTAAAGTAGGGCAATTTGGCCATTTGTCCCGCGGGTCAAAGTTTTCAGGGAGATTATTTATTGTGTCATCATCGTATTGAACTGCGTACAACTTTTGAAGGTATTTATCTTCAAGAGCTCCCATAAGTATCTTGATAGATTTTAATGTCCTAGTGATGGGGAAATTACGTCCAGCGATCCATGTGTTTTGTTTAGAATTTATAAGATTTATGAATTTATCAGTTAAAAGGTGAGGAATTTCTGAAACTGCAATTCCACATAAAAGCACTAAACAGATAGCCCGAATCAGTATCATTTTGTCTTATTATTTGCAAAGAAAACGAATATAAGACGCGCAATCAGCTCGGCTGCACCGAGTCGACTGAGGACTCGGTACTTATACTAATAAATTATTGCTCATGCGTTCCGTTATAGCGATCGCGCGATACGAGGGGCGAGACGAACATTTAACCACGAGTGTCGAAGGTTAATTATGATTACATACATATAGAACAAAGAAAATCAGTTCATTATCTTTAGAAAAACATAAATAACGGTCATCAAACTAATGACTTACATAAATATTTATACAAGTAATTTTGTTTTCTTTTTTCACTTATACTGAACAGTTGATATAAAGTGCGTAGGTACATCTCACAAATAATATGGGAACCTTAATTAACTTTAACTTTATTTAGAAGAATGTTTTAATTTTTTTTTAATTGGAAATATTATGAATCAAAATTGTTTTTAATTCAAACATTAGTGAATCTTTATGCTCTTACTGCTTCTTCAAAATTGTAAATAGTGATTAAAATGCGAATTTTACCATAATGTAAAAGCATTTACATTTCAGCAATGTTGGGTTTATCACACTTAAAATTATTGTAATACTTAATTAATCTGAGTACATACGTAATATGTTAAAAACTTTACTTGTAGACGATACACATGATTTCTCAGTATGGACTACGCACTATTTATACATAAATCGTGTTAACTTATTTTAATTTTTCTGTTAAATAGTTAAAAGTTTATTGTTAAATACAGATAATATTTGTAAGGCAATCCTGGCAAGTATCAATGTGATTTTTCCGAGTCATATATTTTCTAAGAGTATTTAGACATCACTAATTAATGTATTCCCAAAGAGGGTTGACGTCAGGCAGGCAGCCGGTCGTAAAAACAATTAGCCAAAACTATTCACAACATGTAAGGCAGACCCTGGCTAAAGCTGGGAAATTGCCAGGTAGAAGAAGAAGAAGAAGACATAACATTTGTAACTATTATGCTATTAAGAATGCCAAGCCCATCTTACATTTCAGTTCATTAATTTTAAATAAATGAAGTAAGAAATAAGAACATATCTTTTTTATTATTATACAATCTAAATAATAATTATGTTCATTAAAGTAAAGCATACGAATATTATAATTGAAGAGTTCGTGTTTGCGTTCGTAATTTTTTTTATATATTTGTGTCATTCAAATAGCTTAAGCCTGTTTCATTCGTAGAGTAAATAACATTAAGTGTAATATAACGTTATATCTTATTTATTATTTTGAAAGAATTGTTATTTGCGAAGAAGAAGTCACTGAAGTGGATATTATTGATAAATTTTCCTTGAATGTTTTTATGAATGAGGGAGTTATTGCTGTATATTATATATGATTACGTTACGAACCTATACTGTCTTTATATTAGTTATATTTAGGGTTTCGCTTTTCGTCCCACGAGATTAAAGAACCAGGAGAAAAGTGGCCAATGTGTTTTTCATTCTCTAAAGCTATTTATTTCCTTAATTTCATTTCACTCAGTTGTATGGCTTTGGCAGTTGAGCAACTAACACCAAAACAAACAAATGTTTACTCAACATCGATGTGGTTTTTAAAAATTTGACAGCCTTTAAACAAAATCAATTATTTTTATTTTTAATTAAAACTGATTTGAGTGTTAATAAAAATAAAACCTTTATCGAATAACATATTGAGTTTATTGAACATTTCAATTGCGTCCTGTATTTGACGTACGTATATTAATTTCAAATATAAAAAAATAAAAGAGAACCCTGAGTGGTTTTGGTTAGGTTTCGCTTATTTCCCTCATAAAATTGAAGAGAATATTTCGTATTTATTTTTATCGTGTTTTGTTTATCTTCAACTAACTCAATTAAAGTATGGGTCACGAATGGTAGTGACCTTTAGATCTTCAAGATTCAGCATCAATATATCAATTTCACTGTATCTATAACAATAATGTCTACAAGTACCTCTACTTATTTTAAATTAGTATCAAATTTTATATCTTTTAAGTTATTTTTTTATTATTTCATCATAATATCGTGATAGAACGTATTTGTTCAAATTCGGCACAAATATTTGTTAAAGACAGGGTCAGCTTATTGGCTATATATCACCCCATTTGTTATGGAGGATGCTGCAATATTGGAAATTTATTGCAATTTTATTCTAGGAAATTACCCAGAAATACAATTTATGCATGCGATACCGCGGGCTAAAGCTAGCGGTAAACTAAACATTATCACAGCAAGACGTTGTTTATATGTAATACAAAATGTTTATTAGCCATTATTAAAATTATTTAAGACATTTGTACTACAAGCTATACTAAATTGGTACAAGCGATTTTAATATTACTATTTCAGTTCAACAGTTTTAATTTATATCCTTTTGTAAATTTTCTCACTTTGTCTCTCTTTAAATTCTCAAAAGTATTAGGATAGTATAAGTCAAAGGATTTGTTTCTAATTATTTATATAATATGAAACTTAGCTTGGAATAAATGGAAAAAGATAAAAGAATGAAGTCGTGGGGAAGAGTTAGATTTTACACCGAGGATCATGATCTTAAATGACAGTCCGTGTTTGAAAAAATGTTTAACTCTATTTCATAATTCTGATACATGTAATAGTGTATTTAACACATTTTATATTGTAATGCTAACGTTGGTATGGCTTCAAGTTCAGTTTGAAATTATTGTATATGGTTGATTTACCGTCAACAATAAATTATTGTTCTCTCACTCAGTTCTACGATATTTGATATATATTTCTGACATTTATGACTATTAAGTTTTAATTATAATTTATACGCATGTTTAAAATTTAAACGTGTCTCATTCAAGTGTGGTAAATTAGCGATTAATTAGGATTTACTGACAAATATAATATGTTAATGTTATTCATTCAAAATTATGACGGCAAGATACATAAGCTCAAAACTTATAATTAGATAATTTATTAAACTTTTTTGACAAATATTTTTTTTAATGCAAGAAACGGGTGCTTAATTAATATTTAATTATCTCCTATGCAAATTGTTCTGTGAATTTATGTTGCTTTTTATTTATCAAAGTATCAATGACAACCCAAGATTTATATTTGTAGAAAACTTTATATTTTGTTCTTAATTTATATTACGAATACCCAGCTTGGCAACACTAAGATTAAGATACAAAACCAAGATATAATACCTCAAACGAAGGATCTTTTCATATCTTAGTAATATGAGATTGTAACTTCGTGATTGTCGTATAACTGATGGCGAGAGGTCTTAACGTATCAAGATAGTGTGGGGTTGATGCCCCAGATTGCAAATTAGCCTGGAATCACTTACTCGACACATCTGCTTGCTTAATATTGCTGAGGGCTGTATATTAACGATGTGACTTTATATATCCCGACATTTGTTATATAAAATAGAGTTTTGAATTAACAATGAAGTGTATTTAAGACTTTAGTAAAAAACAAAAACAGCATTCAATGAGTATCGACGTTTAATATATCGCCTTTTAGACGGTTGGTACTAAAAATACTAGTAATTTAATAATGTTACAGTAAGTGTTCAGCTCAGAATGTTACGAGTTGAGATATTTACGACGTAGATACTTTAAGTTCTTGTCTCTGACGTCTATTGTATTGCAATTTAAAAGGAATTCCGATTATTTGAAAAAGTTGACTGCATTTATGTTGAGAGAATATCTGCCACATTTACAGAATTTTTTATACACATAGACATGTTTCAAGCATTTATTGTAAAATACATTCTTTTATATTATTGCATATTTAAAAAATTATACAGATTCTATTTCGAAGAACAATATTTTAAAGAGTTTAATGTTTTATTATTTAGCATTCTAAAGAGATGCAATTTTTATCTCTTTAAAGGTTAACATAATCATTCTAGGTTTTTTCCTTAACATAAGTATTTATTGACTACATTAAAGTTTGGTATGATGAAAAACGAATTATGATAGATACTTTTATAAAAATAAAGAATTTGAACTTAGTAGACAATGAATGTTGTTCTTATTTTGCTTAGTACTTTGCGACAGGTCAAGTAGCTAATAGAAAAAAGTACTTTTTGATAGGGGCTCCTTAGACAGATGGCAAATGTGATAGAAAAAGTTATGTACGTGTCTTTTCATTTTTGTCTGTTATTTTTCCTACGATGAGAGCTAAAACTGTATGAAGATCTCTTTGTATTATATTTTCCTTGTTTACTAATTCGCTAAGAAAAAGTTGCGTAAAGTTTATTAGTAATAAAAACAATATTATATTTAATATATGTATATTAACGGTAAGCATACGAGGGGATTTTAATAAATTCAAACAATAAAAGTGATTATAAAACCTGAAAGAAAAGATGAAAGAAAATAAAAGTTACTCCGATGGCTATGTTAACGTTTTTTTTATTATTTTTTAGTTCAGAATTGTGAACAATTAACAAGATATGAAATTAGGTAAAATCGTTAATTATTATATAACCCTTCTTGGTGCATTAATTTAATTGGTTAAACATTAGATGAATATATTGAATTTCTTTATTGAGTAATTTACTTCAAATGCGTGTAAGTTGGTTAAGTATTGATTACAGGATCATAAGAAGGGTCAAAGCGAGGAATGTTCGCTGACCAGCATTCCTAGTTGGGGCTATGCCGTGTGTATATTGATATTGATAATTTACAAACAATATGGACTCGACATTAGTGACTCAAACCCTGTTCCTAATGTTTTTTAATACATAGTTAGTGAGATCGGGTATGGAGTTAAGCCTATTAAGTTACATATAAATAATACATACAAAAAGTCTTTTTATTTAATTATAGTCTGACCTGACATAAGCCTAAAAAATTAATCGCATATTATAAAGATATTTATTCTAATAAGTCTTTTAAATTATTGTTTTTCAAGGTTTTCTATAAATAATTTAAATTTTACTCAACTTTACTATTTCGTTTTGTATTTAATAGGAAAAAGTATTTTTTAAACATTGGTTATGTGGAATACAAAATTGG